GCTCTGGGGACCACAGAATACCACCCCTTCACACTGACTTCTGCGCCCCATGAGGACACACTCAGCCTGCACATCCGGGCAGTGGGGCCCTGGACCACTCGCCTCAGGGAGATCTACTCACCTCCAAGGGGAGATGGCTGTGCCAGATACCCAAAGGTGACCAGACCTGGGCCATATGTGCTACATGCCCCCACATCCCTTCAGCAGGCCTTGGCCCTGCAGCCCCAGACTCCCCACTGTGTCCCTCCCTTCCCCCAATCCAGAGACTGGTTGTTCCCAGTAATGCCACAGTACTGGCTTTCCCTTCACTTCTGTCTCTACTGCCTCCCATTTCCAGCTTCAGAACTATGGTGATGGTGGAGTCTAACTCAAACCCACTCCTCTTGCAGCTGTACCTCGATGGACCATTTGGAGAGGGCCACCAGGAGTGGCATAAGTTTGAGGTGTCAGTGCTGGTGGGAGGGGGCATTGGGGTCACCCCCTTTGCCTCCATCCTCAAAGACCTGGTGTTCAAGTCATCAGTCAGCTGCCAAGTGTTCTGTAAGAAGGTGAGTGCCCCTCCTCCTGCCAACCCTTGTCCTCTGCTCCCGATCACTGGATCCATCTCTGTCTCTCTCTCCTGCCTCTGTTTTTGGCCTGATCTGGACAAGGCCAAGTTGGCCTGCCCCAGAGGGATCAGGATATTCCCAAACCCTAAAGAACAGAGTTGGAGAGGGATAAAAAAAACCCATTCCCTCTTATAGAAGAGGCCAGCACTTGAAGGAAGCATTGCAAGTGGGGAGAATGAAGGGCACACTTAGGGTGAGGCAAAAGTGAAACTGGCTCTGCTTTCAAGAGGAAAAGGAGGGGAGGTGGCAAGGCAGGGCTGGTGGGCTGGGTTGGCTCCAGGAACACAGCCCAGGCCCTTAGGCCCCCTCCATACCGGGTCCCTTCACCCCAGCCTGGACCTGGTAGCAGGCCCCTTCTTGTCTCTCTGGGCCTGGCGGGTGAGTCAGGGGCGCAGGAATGCAGCGGGCAGAGGCCCAGCCCATATGCTGTCAGCATTTAGAGGGTGATAGGCAGTTCCCCTTCTCCTCTGTTGTGCCAGCTCTGGCTCAGTTTCTTTTTTTGTTGTTGTTTAATGTTTATTCATTTCTGAGAGAGGGGTGGGGGGAGGCGGAGAGAGAGAGGGACCCAGACAGCACAGAGCCTGATGTGGGGCTTGAACCCACAAACTGTGAGATCATGATCTGAGCCAAAGTCAGATGCTTAACTGACTGAGCCACCTAGGCGCCCCTCTGTCTCTGCCTCTGCTTCTTAACCCAACACAGCCTGTCTTCATCCTCTTCAGAAATTGGAGATGGGTCCCTCCATGGCAGCTTCCATCCCCCCGGTGTCTCTTTGAGCCCACTCCCATCTACTCCAGGCAGCCAGCTGGGTCTTTCCTAAGGCTGTTCTGTGACATGCTCCTCAGTGGGACCATATCCCTCTGGGCTAGGTTTGACTGGGAGCCTAGCAGCCGGAAGAGGGCCCATTGGAGGGAGTGGCAAGTCCAGCTCAGTGTGAAGAAGCTGCTTCCTACCCCATCAGAACTTTAGCTCACTTGGCAAGTGTCCTTTTCCATCACCCCAGATTACCATTCTCTTCAGCCTCTCTATACCCTGGGGTAACTCCGTCTCTCACCCCAGAACCTGACCCTATGGCCCCACAACACTCCATCTCCCCAGGCTGTCTGGGGAGAGGCACAAGCTGACTGAGACCAGAAGAGTTCTGTTGCTCTGAGGCTCCCTGAGAAATAGGGAGCCTGAGATGAGCCAAGTCCTGAGCTCCAGCAATGCATCCCCAGATCTACTTCATCTGGGTGACACGGACCCAGCGGCAGTTTGAGTGGCTGGCTGACATCATCCGGGAGGTGGAGGAGAATGACTGCCAGGACCTGGTGTCCGTGCACATCTACATCACCCAGCTGGCTGAGAAGTTTGACCTCAGGACCACCATGCTGGTAGGCCAGGGCCGGCCAGGCAGGGTGGGTATGTGGGCCACCATCTAGACTAAGAGCCGCCCCTGGCTGTGTGTGGCTGTGACATTCCTCCTCTCCTCCCTCTCCCAGTACATCTGTGAGCGGCACTTCCAGAAGGTGCTGAACCGGAGTCTGTTCACGGGCCTGCGCTCCATCACCCACTTTGGCCGCCCCCCCTTCGAGGCCTTTTTCAAGTCCCTGCAGGAGGTCCACCCGCAGGTCAGTACCACCCCATATCAAGGTTCTCCTGGCCTTTATCATCTGAGGTCTGAGCAAACCTCTCGTACCAGCTCCATGAGGGAAGGAATTGACTTCTGGAGAGAACTCATCACCTGGGAGATAAGTGGGGTTAATGAAATGGAAAAAAAGTAGGGGTTACTCTGAGGGGCTAAGGGAAGAGGCAGGTGACAGGGACTTACCACTTCTGAGGCCATGATGCCTATCCACAAGGAACACCTCAATGACTGAGCTAGTCCTTACCATAAACTCAGAGCTACTTACCCTTACCACTAATACTGAGCCAGCCCTCACCTGGACACTGAGTTAACCTTTACCATGAACATTGGGTTAGCCCTCAGTGAAACACTGAGCTATCCTTTAATTTGAACATTGATTAACCTAGCCCCTGATCTTGCACCTGAAGCTGACAAATGCCTTGGAGGGGGTGGAGGTTGGACCCACAGAAAACAAGTCTGTCAAAACTGAGCTAGACTTAAAAACACTGAGCCAGCCCTCACCACGAATCGTACAAAGTGAACCTTTATAAGAAACACGGAAGGAGCCCTCACCATGGACTCTTGCTGGTCTTCAGCATGAAAACTGAGCTAGCCCTCCATCTGGATACTGAGCTAGCCTTCACGTTTCCCCCCCCAACAGGTCCGGAAGATTGGGGTGTTTAGCTGTGGCCCCCCTGGCATGACCAAGAATGTGGAAAAGGCCTGTCAGCTCATCAACAAGCAGGACCGGACTCATTTCTCTCACCATTATGAGAACTTTTAGGCCCCTGCCCAGGGGCTCTGCCCACTGCCCAGCTGAGCAGAGATTTTGGCCCACACCTCACTCTGTACTTCCTGTTTCTGGCTCCCCCAGCCTTCTCCCCCCATTCCTGCCTCCCATCCTTAGTCCAAGTGGCCATGGTCAGTCACACCACATGGGTTCAGACCATATGAGTCTAGAATGTCTCAGCCTGGAGAAGTGGGAGGCATTGTCTGGGAAACAGAGGTTGGGAGGTAGGAGAGCTATTACTGCTTTGAGGCAAATTGACACCTCTTCTTCCAAACTAAGAAAAAGCTTCAAAAGACTGGAGCTGATAAGCAGTGTTTATATGTATAAGGGGGCTGTGAGCCTAAGGATGAAGTAAGAGCACAGATGCTGGTACTTTGTGACTCTTCCCCCCAAGCCCCCCTTCCTCTGGGGCTCCCCACTGTCAAAAGGGCTGGCAAATGCCTTGGAGGGCATAGAGACTGGAGCTGCAAAGAGAAATTTACAGGAACCCCTGAGCTTCTCTCCCCAGTTTTTAAACATGCACTATAGTCAGAACCCAGTCCAGTATCTATGTAGTGCTCCTCAGCCCTTCTCTCTTCTTCCTACTGAAGTAGTCTCCTTACGAATAAACCACATTTCTGCCCTCTGGGTTTCTGTATTCTGCCCCAGGCTGGGATACCCATTGACAGAAGCAGCTACTCAGCCAGGCAGCTAACCTAGGCTGGTGCAGACAGTCCTCTGAACTTGCCAGTATCTGCTGAATAAAGGAACGGGCCCAAGACCAAGTGCTCTAGCTGGAGATGCGTTTCCCAGCTCAGGGGCACCCTTCCTGATGGAGGGCCTCTCAGGGTGGCTGGTGTGGGGCTTCTGAAGCCTGATCAGGAAGGACACCGAGAGGAGGGGTTGGAGTTCCGGAGAAGGTGTGTAGGGCACGGAGTAGGGGTATGTGTGGCAGGACACAGCAGGAGCCTGCTGGAAGCCCGAGTTTGCCTGGCATGCTCCAGGACCTCTGTTACTCCCAGCCCTTCTCTGAACAACAGGAGTTGAGCACCGGTGCCTATAAGGGAATTTGTGCCCAACTTAAAGTGAGCCTTTCGATTGTCTCCCCAGGATTCTTACATTTGTCAGGTAACATATCCTCGATTTCGATAAAATAGGCATGGGATTAGGAAATCCAAAATCCCATCATTCATTTGGAAGGTTTAGGTTCTGAAAGGAGCATGCTCCCACAGCAGCAGATGTTTGTTCAGCCTCACAGGGGAGCTTCTGTTCATTGCGACCTTGGAAGCAGTAAGGCGGGCCTGGAGTGGGTTGACCTCAGTTTCCACCCGCGGCCCAGTGGGTATTCCCGGGGGACTGGGCCCACAGGCCTCGGCCATTCTAGCTGTGGGCAGGGGCTGGGGCGTCGCCAGGGCCGTGGGCGGGTGTGGCCTGGCGCCAACGGCACGCCGCACGGCCAGCAGGGGGCGCGCACGGACGGCCCCGCGGGGTTCGGCCGCGAGTGCGAAGCCCCGGCCAGAAGAGAGATCCGGGCCCAGGCCTGCTGGCTGCAAGCCTCCAGGGGCCGGACTCACAGTCCGGGAATGGGGGAGACGCGGCAGGCCCCGCTTCCTCTGGAAAGAAACACGGTCGGCCGCGCCAGCTTTCCCGCCTCCGCGGGTGCGCGGCTTCCGCGTGGCAGAGCCGCCTGCTACCCCCCGCCTGGCGCGCTGCCTCTTTGTCTCTCCGCGGCTCCCCTCCTCCCAGACGAATGGCTGTTGGCAGGAAATTGGATGCGATCTTGGGGAGCCGCGCTCCTCGGCGCGGCCTGCCGGCTCCGGGTGCCCCCAGCCGCGGCGGGGGCGGCTGGGGATGTTTTGACATCTAGTCAAAGGAAGAAACTTGATGCTTCTAAAGTGCTTTTCACAGCCGGCCTGTGTCTGCTCCGGAGCTGATTTATAAACAGAATCTGCGCTCGCTTCGCCGCTTCCCTCCCCCGGCAGTCCGGGGGGCGGCGCTGGAGGCGCGGACGCGGCTGTGCCTGGCAGGACTGGGTTTATTTATTGCATCTGGCCGGGAGCCGGGGCGGCTCGGGGACTGCGCAAGTTCCCTACGACCCGAGCCCTTCCCCTCGTTTCCCTATCTTCAAGGCCATCGCCACCCAAGGGGTCTGCCTTCCCCAAGCCCCAAGCCCCAGACTCTGACGGAGCCAGCCGGTGGTTTAGGGGCGGAGGCAGAGACATGGCCAGGGAGCCCCGCAGGACCGCGTCCTGCCCCACCCCGCATTGACCCAGGGGGAAGGAGGCGGTGGGTAAGGGGGGGTCGCCACATCTGCCTAGGGGCGCAAATGGTGGGGAGCTGCTGATATTAAACTCCTCAGGAAACCAGCGGCTCTGAAGCCCCCTTCCTCCAGGGGCTATCCTTTCTCCCCAGGGATTCCTCTGTCCTCGGCTCCAGACAACCATTTTACTCCCAAGGCCCCAGTAGGCCTTCCCCTTTAGAATAAATTAAGGAATCTCCAGTTCACTCGATCTCAGGGAGAGGGAAGGGGATGGGTCCAGATTTGTCACAGTGCCCGGCCCTCACATCTATAGAGTCCGAATGGCCACAGGGTAGAGCAGGGACATGTGCTCGGCCCCCTTAATGGGCAGCTTGCGGCTGGCATAGTGGTGCACGATTTCAGGGACGCTGCTGAAGGGCGGGCTGTTCTGGCCCAGCACGTACTTGTGTTCCTTGGTCCTGGACAGCTTCATGTGCATGAAGCCCTGACTGCTCCTGTGAAGAGGAGAGGAGAGGAGACCCTGGTGAGTAGGGGCTCTTTCCAGTCCCCATCTGTTCCCCTCCCCTCCCCCTGCAGCAAATGTGGTTGTTCCAAACCAGCTTTGTGCGAAGTGACTAGAGAAGGTGAAGGTCATGATGTCTAGAAAAACAGGGAGGAGGCAGAGGGAATTTTGTGAGTAGGTAACATGAGGCAATGGCTTTGTGTTGTGGGCACTGGGTGTGCCAAGAATGTGTGAGTGTGCAGGGCATGTGCACGAGGAAACTGGAGCGACCATTCTCCCCACCCCAAACCCTGGGATCCTGGCACCAGTGGCCTCCAGCCTGTTTGGCCAGGACTGGTTTACCTTCCCTATCCTTGAGCTGTGGGGTAGAATACTTTTGGGGGGGGGGTTCCTAGTGACTCACATGGAGACACAAACATTGTTGGCAGGTCAGTGTGTGGACAGATGTGACAACCAAATGGATCTTGGTTGAGGCTCTGTCTTGCAGAAACCTGGGGAGGGCGTGAGCTGCTCTGTAAGTCCCTCCTAAATCCGGGAATGCTCAACTGCCTTGTTCTGGGGATATCCCTTTACCTTCCTGATAACTGGCCTTGAGCCAAGCCCCAGCTCCTCTATCCCTTCAGCCTGGGATGACATCATCAATAAGGCTGCAGCTCCATTCCCTCCCTCCAAGAGGAAATGCTCCACTGCCTCTCTCATCTCCTTGACACAATCCAGGAAATCAACATTAGTGCCTGGCCCTGCCCACAAGACAAGGACCCTGCTGCTCAGAGCTCTGACCAGCTCCCCGCAGTCCGGACACCCTCAGCCTTAGAGAGAGAGCATGGGGGTGGGGCCCCAGCAAGAACAACATTTGCCTAAGCTGCCACAGGCCTCGTCCACAGGCAAGGGGGAAGCAATGCTTAGGGAGCCCTGAAGCCTGAATACTTGTCTCTCCTGGCCAGAGCCTACTTGGGGACAAGTACAAGGCTCAGAAGCTAGTATGGGAGGTAGGGTTGGTGGGGCTGGTGAGGGAGGACCCTTATATTGAGGTAAGGCTGGCAAACCTTTCCTTTCCCTGCCTGGGTACAAAGAGGGCTCTGACTGGACCCATTTCACTGGGCCCACAAGTGAATGGAAAGTGGGTGACAGAAGGAAGGAAGGGATGGGGGGTTAAAACAGGCCTTTAGTGCCCATTCTCCGCAATACACCCCCTCCCCTGCCATACCCCAGGATACAGTGTTCTAAAGCCTGCTGGGGGCCCCAGGCTGGGTGTGTATGGGGGCAGGGGCATCCTTCTTCTGTAGGCCTGAGATAGTGATTGAGGCTGACAGTGACCACATGGACCCTGGGTAAAGGCGCCAAGGGCCTGAGGAAAACGTATAGCCCCTGAGGGTGAGAGAGAAGGGAGGCAGTGAGTCGTCCCCTGCCTGCCTGCCTGCCTGCCTGCCTGCCATATGCAGGGCCCAGGCCCAAGGCTGTGGGTAGCAGCTTGGGCCTTGCCTTCCCTCACCCTCTCACAGTTTGGGGCCAGCTCCCTATCCACAGTCCACCTGGGATAATCACCTCTCCCCAAAACTGCATTATATCTTCTCCTTGAGGGACAGATCTGGCCAAAAAGGGCAACAAAGTGGCAACAAGCTTCCATCTGGATAACCTCCTGGGGCAAAGTCCCAAGGGCCTGTTAGGACAAAGCAGAGCCCTTGCCCAACCCTCAGGAGCCTGGGTGGGACTTGCTGGGCCGCAGGGCCATGGCTGACTTGGCTTTTGGAGGAAGCTGTTTAATTACCAGTGAAAGCCCTTCCATTACAGAGAGCAGAGAAACCATAATTGTATTTCAGAGAAGCCATTTATATGCAAACGAGGCTCTGGCAGCCGGCTGTCAGTGGGGCCAGATCAGCTTGGGCTGCGGCGGCTTCCAGGACTGCCTCCCCCTTTGGCTTCCCAGGCTAAGGCAGAGCCCTGCTCCACTCTAGGAGCCAGACCTTTTGAGGTCTCTCGCCCAGCCTTGGACTATACTAGACTGGATGAGGGGGCGGAGCTATGCAATGGAATAGTGTGGTTCTTGTAGTCAGACTGATCTGGGTTCAAATTCTGCTTTTGCCACCTGATTACCTAGCAGCCTTGAGCAAGTCACATACCTCTTTGTAACGTAAATCAAATTTCTGACAGATGAACTCTACATAAATGCTCCTTTGACCTTACGAGAATTTGCAGACTCCCAGAGATTGAGAGCGTCAAGAAACCTAAATCCATCAATGCATTTTGCAAAGGGAGAAACCAAGGCCCAGAGAGGTTCCATGATTTGCCTAGGGTCACATATCTAGTTTTATTAAGCCAAAGAATAAAATTCAGGTTATTTGACTATAGTCTGGCATTTTCCCCATCATCTTTCAGTTGAAGTTGAATAATTATCTTCAAGTGTAACTGTTTAGTGGTCTCAAACCTCTGTATATTGCATTCGTTTGAAGAGGGGATATACCTGTACCCTGGTGCCCCCAGGATATGTGGTAGGATGTACTACAGATGTCCCAGTAGTGACGGCGGGATGTGAATGGACACAGCATTCTGACAGGCTGCCATGTGGAGTGCAGGCTCTACCAGGCAGGACTCCTGGGTGCCAAGGGGAGGATGGGCCACTCTGCCAAGAAGGCCTAGAAGGCCAATGCTGGTCTATTTATATCTGCTCTCTGGGAGAAAGGCTGATGGGAGGGGAGGGCCCTGCCTCCTCCTCCTCTGCCAGGATCCTTTAAAACTCAGTTATCAGCACCCAGACCTCCTCCCCACTTCTTCAGAGTGAACAACAGTTTTGTGTCCACTGCTCCACCCTCCTCCCAGGACCCAGCCCCCTCCTCACCCTATAGACTCCCTCACGCACACTTCTCTCCTTGCCTGTGCTTCAAGAACATCTTGGGTTCTTGAAAAGATGATAGTGATAATTTATTTAGCACTTGGCATCATGTTAAGTGCCTCCCATGTATGGTTCATTTGAGCCTTCTCCATACAGTGGATGTTATTATTCCCCCATTTTATAAGTAAGGAAACTGAGGCCCAGAGAGGTTAAGAGGGGTCCAGGCCACACAGCTAGTAAGTAAGTGGCAGAACCTTTGTGAGCTGGACACTGGCTTGACAGTTTACTCTAATGGACTCTGAGCTACTTGAGATTCGGGGCTGAGCCTCAGACTGCCAGGTCCCCAGAGCCTGGCCAGAGTCAGCAAATGTTCATGGAGATGGAGTTCTCCCCAGCTTAGCTGGGCATGGGGCAATGTTAAGAGTCTCCTCCTGTCCTTTTGGCTGTCCTCCCGTGGAGTCCCCCTGGTGTCATCCTGGCAAGCTAATCCTGCCTAAAGCTGCTAGTTGGCCCGGCCCTACTCACTTGAGGGACAGGGAGAAATCATTCTTGCTGGTCTCACTGTTGCGCACCAGGTAGCTGGCCTCTTTGCACAGGCGGAGCAGGTTCTCGGCATCTGTTCGACTGATGGCCCCGTGGTACCAGCTGAGGATGAGAGAGAGGAAGGGGGGCATCTCTGCTGGGTCCCTCGCCGTCCAGGCCCACCCATTCTGGGTGTCCCCTGCAGGCAAGCCGGTGGCAGGAGGGGAAGGGAGGGGAGAGAGTCCCAGCTGGACACAGACACTCACACCTGGTTTTCCAGAGGCAGTGCTGGGTCTGTCCACTCCCCCAAGGGGCTGCTGGGCTCCACGTTTAGGGGCTTGGCTGACTTGGGGTTCCCTGCAGAGAGTCGGGGAGGTAGCCGCCCCTTCTCCTCCCGGCCAGGTGACAGGCAGCTCTTCTCAGGTCCTTCAAACTGGGCTGTGGGGAATATACCAGTCATAGTCTCTGAGGACCCTAGACATAGAGCCCTATAGAATAACCAGTGATCCACCCCCATTTTCTGCCACAAGGGGTCAAAGGAATGTTCTGGAAGGGCAAGACATCCTCCTGGGCCTGACCTGGTCTAGGGACAGAATCCTGGGTCCACTCCCCGGTTGGAATGGGGCTCAGCCCTCCTATGCCTCACAGTCCCCATGCTGTGGCAGGAGAGGGGAGAGGAGCAACATGAGAAACCACTTAAACTTCTCCCTTTGGAGCAGCTGCCTGCCTTCCCTTATTCTATTCCCCCTCCGGGTGGCTTCAGCGCTGATAATATTGTTTCTTTCTCCTCCTCAGAGTTCATTACCGTTCTCCAAATCACCCTGCCAAGCCATTCTGTAGAAATGACTTATCGATTTGAGAACAATTATCCGATTCCCCTTGGTGCCATCCTGACAGGCTAATCCTGCCCAAAGCCGCCAGCCAGCCAGCCCCTCCCCCGCCCTGAAGGCTGCTGCCCACAGGCTCCCTGCCCCCACCCAGAGAAACCCAGCTGAGGCGGCTCTGCCCTCCCAGACCAGGGCAGGCCTGACCACTGAGCCAGCACAAGGGAGGGCGGAAGCCAGTGGGCCACATGGGCACAGGCACATAAGCACAGGTGACAGAGACCCTCCTTCATCCTGTGTTGACAAAATACTCCTCACACTCAGCACAAATACAAACGGGTGCTCATGCACACCCTTGGCTGCCCATTCTGTACAAAACTGAACATAGATGAAGTGTTCAGTGCTTCCTTTCTACCCATTTGGACTGTTTCTCTCCTTGTAACACTTTTAAGCCCTTGCAGTCTGTCAGCAGATGCAAGGATCAGACCCTTCCCTTACAATAAGGAGGCAGACACTTCCTGTGCTAGCATCATCCCCACCTCAAGAGTTACTTGCATTGCTGATGGATCAGGGATTGGGTTAGGCAAAATCCTATACAGAAGTGAATTTAAGATAGTGGATTTTTGTGGTACGGTGAGGAAGATATTTGGAAAAGGAGACATCTTCCCCACACCTTTGGGAGGGATGAGGAATGTGTACTTTGTCCTTTCTTTCTTCCTCCAGGACAAGGGGGAATCTTCCTCGGTCCTCCAGACCCTGCCCCACTCCAGCTCCTCCAACCCAAGCCACAGGGGCCTGAAGGGTGAGAGGACATGTCACCCTGGCCAGAAGCCCCCATAGAACCCACCGCTGCCGTCTTCCAGGCTGGGCTCAGGGAGGGGTGAGGCTGGACCGGAGATGTCCCTGTCCCCGTCAGGCAGGGAGGGGCTGCTGTCCAGCTGTCCCACCGGCGGAGGCCAAGGTAGGTCTTTGATGACCTTAATGTCAACTGGAGCCAGTAGCAGCAGGGAGAAGAGACACAGACAGGGACAGAGAGAGACAGAAAGAGGCAGAGGTTGAGACACCAAAACCCAGAGCCAGGACACAGGATAGCCTGGAAAGGAGGAGGGTCAGAGCAGAGGCAGAGGTGCTTCTGAGGTGGGAACAGGACACTCGGAGGGTTGGGTGGAGCCACAGCGCCCACACCAGGCTGGCTTAGTCAAAGGGTGGGAGGCACAGGTAGCAAGCAGCAGGAAGCAGAGCCTAGACCTGCCAGCCATGTGGGTCCCCTTCATTTGATCTCTCATAGGCCTCCGGGCCCCAAAGGGACCAGGAAAGGAGGAAAAGAGGGACAAGGAGCTGCCCACACCTCCTAGCACCACACCCAGCTTCCCACAGCCTCCTGGCACCCTCAGACCTGTCTCTCTTCCTCCTTTTCCCCACAGCCTGGGAACTCATGGGCAGCAAGACCAAGACAGCCCAGCTTCAGGCTGTCAGGAATACTCAGATGTGGGGGCAGATATTTACTGAAAGTTACCCCCACACCCTCAATCCTGAGCCTTGACAATCAGAAGGGTGATGCCCCTGGTGGCTGCAGGACTGCTAACGAGGTTTCCTAATGACGAGCATAGATTTTCCCATTAAGCAATCCAAACAGTATTGATTCTCCAAGGAGACTTCTGGAGATAAACGGGCCATCCTCAATGGTGCACGCTTTACAGGAAACAAAGTAGAAACCTGTGGTTTCCCAGTCTGGCTGCCGGGGCAGGGAGGACAGAGCAGAGAGCTGAGTCCAGCTCCAGGATGAGCCCCTTGCCCAAGGAGGGGTGAGGGGGACATGAGAGTGGGAATGAAGTCTAATGGCATTTAAACCCTTCACGTTCTCACTGGATCAAGGATACAAGGGTAAAGCTCTCTCCAGGCTCCCCAGGCTGTAGTGCTACCCATTCAGACCACCGACACACACCTCCCCGTGTTGGACTCCAGGCCTGGGAACAGACACTGGGGTGCCTGTTACCTAATTTTCATTCAGCAAAGAGGATTTCTCATAGCCTCCCTCTCCCCAGGGGCTCCTGCTCCTCAGAAATCCCCCCGGGGGCCTACGCACCCCTGGTCTGGCACAACCTGCTACTGGGAGACACAGCTCTCTGCTTCTGGGCTGGTATCTCTAAAGGTCACACACAGCTCTTCTCCTTGTCTAGAGTGTTAAATGCCTTCTTTTGTTAAGTGTAAGTACTTAACATATGCCACAAGTTTTATCATTTTGCTTGGAATTTCTTTATTTTAAAACATATCCATGGGGTGCCTGGGGGTCTGTTGGTTGAGCATCTAACTCTTGATTTCAGCTCAGGTCATGATCTCACAGTTTGTGAGATGGAGCCCTGCATCGGGCTCTGGGCTGACAGTGTGGAGCCTGCTTGGGATTCTCTCTCTCCCTCTCTCTCTCTCTCTCTCTCTGCCCTCCTCTGCTCGCGTGTGTTTTGTCTCTCAAAATAAATAAATAAACTTAGAAAAATAACAAAAAAATAAATATAATATGCCCAGTCTCCCAAAAGACGGGAGTGGCCAAGCCTCTCAGCCTCCGAGAGATGGTGATGCAGGGAGACGCCTTCATCCTTCTCCCATGCCCATTCCCTGACCCTGCACGCAGTGCTGCACCCATACTGCCCAGTTCACCAATCTCTGTGGTGCAGACTCAACTATGCTTCCCCTGAGCCCAGCTCCTGGGCCTCCCCCAGCCCTTGGGATCCACTCCTCCTACTCCCCTGAGCCTGGAGAGCTGTGTAGAGGCCCCAGCAGACCCACTCTCTCTACCCAGGGCTTACCTGCAAAGGCTTTGGAAATCCTCTCCTTCTTCCATTCCCAGGGCTGGTCATACTCCTCAGGGGGCCTCTCATCATCCTCTGGCAGACGGGACTCCCGCGGCCAGGGGGCCCCCTCACCCTCTGGGGTGGTCCCCTCCTCCTCTGGCTCATAGGGCGTGTCATACAGAGGCAGGGGCTGAGCTGCTGTCTCCTTGGAGCTCCGGATCTCTGCCAGGGCAAGGCAGGAGGGGAGGTGTGAGAGCAGCCCCCACTGCCTGGCTCAGCTCTTCTGGCAGCACCCCTCAGCAACACACCACACCTCCTGCACAGGAGATGCCACTGCTCTCGGAGCCCAGTGGCCGCACATCCGGGGTCCCTTGCCCTCAAAACACCTCTGGGGTTCCAAAAGCATGGGATCCAATGGAGGCAGGGGCAGAGAAGCACCAGAGTGAAAGAGAGAAAAAAGATCCTTTGATGGCCAGCAAGGGCTTGGGAAATGAGACTTACACATTTAGGAAACTAAGACAGGGTCCTCTCCTAATTCGCCTCCTCTTGGCTACCCAGCTCCAATTCTTTCCTTGTGTCCCATGTACTGTCACTTGGAAATCAGAAAATCCTTCTTTGTTGCTCAGACACTGCTGATCACTCCCTCCTTGAAACTCTCCTTTGACAAGTCATTTTCATGGTCCTCCTCTCTGATCTCTCCTGTTAGCACTCTTTCCCTGGACCTTCTCTTGGTCTCTGTTCCCCAGAACCAGGTCTTATTCACCTCTTCCTGCCCTCACTCCTTGCCCTGTCTCATGGCACCCTATACACTTCCAATTGCCATCAAGATTTTCAGTTTAGTGGTTCAAACTCACCACTTCCCCCAGAAGTTCTTCTAGTCTGTTCTATGATTCTCTTTTTGGGACAGTTGACCCCAGTGAAAATTGAATAAAAGCTATGGAGCTACTGCCCAGAAAAATGTGCACGTTTGCATCCAATGCCGGGGCATTCGTGGGCCTCCTAAGGGTACTCACCTATCTGACCTAAACAGCGTAGCCACCCTCTCACTTTCTTCATTTTTCTCCACTACACTACTCACCATGGTCCTGGCCCTCCTTCGTCCCTCTAAATCCCATGTGGTCACCACCAGTACCTGATGACTCTCACCCCCAACTCTCCCCAACTCGATTCCTGCTAGGGCAACCTCCACTCTGCAGGCTCACGTTTCCATGAGCTCCATGGAATAACACTCCTGACAGCTCCACCCCTCCCCCCTCTCCCAAGGAGGGGGGCAGCTTATCTGATCACCAGTGCATGCTCACTGTCTTTCTCAGCTCTACCTTCTGGTCCTTTCTCCTCCTGCCCCATGAAGGGGCCTATAGCTGTCCTGCGTGGCCCAAGCCTGAGGGGGCAAGTTTAATTCTGTGAAGTATTAAGAAGCTCATCGTGGAGACATAGCTGAGTAATGTTTTCCAATCTACTTTATCAGTAATAAAGCTGACATTCTCATCTTCATCTGTTTCTTTAATCTTATTTCTCAATTATTTCCAAGCTCAGGAGAGGAAGAAAGTGGTGTTAATTGTTGATCCCTTAAAACCTCAACAATTTCCACAACTACTAACTCATCTTTCTGATGCCCAGTTTTTCTAGTCTGTTCTGTACACCAAAGCCTCAGTAATCCCCTTAAACGCCATATTTGTCCTATTTCTTTCTTGCTTAAGAATCCATAATGGTTCCCCTTCTCTTCTGGAGCAAGTCCAAATGGCTCATTCCAGCCTTTGAAGCCCCTCACTGCTCCTCTTGGCCACTCTCATCTTGGCTCCCAGGTATGCCCAACACTAAAGCTATCTACTCTTCAACAAACCTTCCTTTCGTTCTGCCTTGGGGTCTTGGCTAGGCCCGACTTACCCCTGTCCTCTTCTCTGATAACCCCATTCATTTCTTTCCCTGGATCCTCTCCTGACTTCCGCTCTGTTCCCCAGGGCCAGGTCTTACTCGTTGCTCTTTGCGCCCACTTCTTCACATGCCTGCCCAGTCTCACGTGCATTGCATCTGCTTCTCTAGCCATGTGTTTTCAACTGCCATAAAGACGTTCCACTTTGACATCATATCATCTCAAACTCACCACCTTCCCTAAACCTAATGATCTTCCTTTTGGGTCCCATGACCCCCAGCCCACCACTATCTTGCCCTCCTGACTATCCTAATTCTATCTGTCTGACATTTGGTGTGTGGCCTTCTCTATCACCTCATGTCTCAAGCATCACAAGTCACTGCTCCTTCTCGAAAATGACTCTCTTGAAGGCAGTGACCAAGGACCCAAGGGGGTCCATGTTTGTCCCATGGTCCCCAAGGACCCAGTAAAGGGACCATGGAATCAGTCCTTAAATTTATGGGTCCCAGAGCCTGTTGTGCAAATACCCAGGCTTCAGGGAGCAATACCCCACTCCTGACTCCATCACGCACCAGCCATCATCTTTTGGGCCTCATAGGGCTCCATGTAGCCGTCATTTTCAGGGACCTTCTCTGGAGCTCCTGAAGCTCCTGCTGGGCCTTCACCAGTCTCCTGAACATCAAACGGGTCCGCATAGTCTTCTAGGATTGCCAACTGTGGGAAGACAGTGAGAAGAGCAGGCTTCAGACATCTGAGAGACAGCTCTGCTTCTCCCCAGATGCTATGTCCATGAGATCCAGAGCCCAAGGCATCCAAAGGCAGGCTCTGAGCTTGGATGGATGGGGACAAGCCCTTCCTGTGCAGGGCTCCCCTACTAGGCTGCCAACAGAGTGAGAGATGTTTCTTTTCTGTTAATTTTGTGCTTCTGGGCCATTCCTTAGGTTAAATTGCCAGGATGAAGCGCTGGGCCTTAAGGCCTGCCTCAGTCAGGGTCCAGGAAGGGCAAGAGAGGTGTTCAACACCAGGTGGTTCAACAGAAGGAATTAAATCACAGAGTGGGTTACAAAGGTGGTAGGGGAATTCAAAGAACAAGAGGGAACAGCAGCTGACTCAGAGGTTAACTTGGTCCATGCCTACAAGTTCATTCCCAGATGCTGAACAAAGAAAAATTTGCTAACCATGGAAAAAAGAAAGGCTAAGTGCTCACTTTATGGCACAATTCTGTTGGTTTATCCTCACAACATCCATCATAATGCCTCGTGGGTATTATTATCCTCGTTTTAAGGAAATGGAGGCTCAGAGCAGGTAGGGAACAACATGCCCAAGACCATTCCACCTAAGTAGAGGAACCAGGATTGGAACCAGCATTGTGCAAAATTAGGCTTCCAACCTGCCACCCGTGGGCACGTTGGCCATCCTGAGAGAGAGGCCACTTGAGGACAGCCCTGAGGAGAGCCAAGATTTGGGCTCTGCTGAAATCGCCTGGCTCCTGGAGGACAGGAACAGGAACGGCATTGCCTTGGCCCGCCACATCCCACACTGCCCGTCTACCCCACAAGTGGCTCATGACCACCCCTCTGTCCCTGTTCCCCGTCAAGGCAGAGTGAACTGTAATTCAAGCGCCCTGAGGAAGAGCTCAAGGTGCTCAGGGCGGGGTGCAGCTGAGGACAATAGAGCCTTTCTCCAAGCTGGGCACAGGCTCCTGGAAGGGGGGAGGCCGAGGTGGAGACAGAGCCCAGCCTACCCGGGGCTGCCAGCACCTCAGGGGAAGCACTGCACACGGAGTTGACAGGCATTGACAAGCGGTGGCTGTGGGGCCTGCGGCACAAGGAGGGGCCACCCCTGCCTCTCCCCATTCTCGGTTGTAGGCTTTGGGTCTGGGCCAGACTAGGACTGTGGGAGCCAGTGAGCAGGGAGGCTGCGAGGTGACCACCTGCCCTGGGTCAGTGGGTCTGGAACCCTAGCAAGGCACAGATGGAGAAAGGAAGATGCCTACCACAGATTCCCCTCTTGCGTGTTTCTTGGCCCCACGTGAGCCCTCTAGGGCTCTCTGAAGCACATCCCAACAACTCCTACCATCTCCCCTTTCCGTTCTTCAGCTCTCACCCTGTTCCACCTTGTTCTACCCAAGCCCCCAGCTCCTTCACCTCCCTCAAACCTCTACCTGTGTCTGGGATAACCACCGTCTCAGGTCATCCAATCCCCACCACCAGACCATCCACTAGCCTAGAGTTCTTTCTTTCCTGTTTCTCTCTCTCCAGCTCTAGCATCTGGCACACAGTAGGTACTAGAAAAATGTTTCTACTACATCACTGCCTATCTCTCCATGGAGCCCTCTACCCCTAGTCCTCTTTAATCCATTAAGTAGAGAAAAGAAGTCCACTCCCATCCCAAGCTGCTTCCTCTCAGGACAACTAGCACCCACAGCCCCACCCACCTGACCAAGGAGGCTCTGGAGTTGGCACCCAGCCTCACGCTTGTATGTGGCAGCTACTCAGTAACTGAATTCAGTGGACGTGTTATCCTTAAACTGTGTAATGCCCACAAGAAAAAGCCCAAAGTAGGGGTGCCTGGGTGGTTCAGTCAGTTGAGCGGCCGACTTTGGCTCAGGTCATGATTTTGTGGTTCATGGATTCAAGCCTCACGGTTGGGCTCTGTGCTGCAGCTGGGAGCCTAGAGCCTGCTTTGGATTCTGTGTCTCCCTTTTTCTCTGGCCCTCCCCTCTCTTCCCCTCCCCTCCCCTCCACACACACACACACACACACACACACTCTCTCTCTCTCTCTCTCTCTCTCTCAAAATTAGATAATTATTAAAAAGAAAAAAAAAAGCCCAAAGTTAAAGAGATTTAAAGATTCCACTTTCTCTCTGCCCATCCTGGATCGCTTTGTTACCTGAAAGCTCTACGCTTTGTTTATTATTTTCCCTCTGCTTGGATTAGATTATTTTTTTTCTTCAGAAAGCCTTTCCATGCTCCCCACAGGTATGGTGAGGTGCCTCTGTGCTGGGCTATTACTACACTGTGTTGTAAACACTTGTTTTATCTTCTTCCTACAGACTGTAAGCTTCCTGAGGGTAGGAAACATGTTTACTAATAAATTCCCAGTTCCTGAAAATATTCAGTAGATATTTGTTAAATTAAATCACATAAAACAGGAAGAATGGACGAAGGAACCACTTTTCCTGGTTTATTAGGAAGAGAAAGGAATCATGAGTCCAGTTTGGGGGAAGGGGCATTGAGTCCCAGGAAGCTGCTCAGTGAGGAGTGCCTGGCCAAGCCGAGCACCTCAAACTTTACAGAGCCCCTTAGCTCTTCCCTCCCAAGCCACTGCCCTTCCCACTGGAATCCTAGGCTGGTGCTCGAGCTGTGACCCTTCCCAGTCAGTGTGGGCCTCCCCAGCGCCAGCCCACGGTGCCTGTGGGCACCCAGGTGGCAGCTCTGTAGGCAGCTCAATGGCTCCTCTGTTCCATCCCTGACTCCACACCCTGCTCCAGGAAACCCTAGCCCCCCGCCCTGGGCGGGTCACCCAGAGGAGCCACCCACAGGGCTGGGAGTCAGGAATAGAAGCAGAAACACCTGCTGGGAAGGCTGGCGAGATGGGCACCCATCCCGAGCACAGAGGATTCCTGTCAGAGGCTAGGCCGGCCTTCCCAGTGGCTTCTAGGTCACATGCAGAGGCAAAACTGCTCAGCAGGGGAAAGCCGCCTCTGCAGGCTTCTGACACCTCTGCTCTACCAGGATTTATTTTGTTTATGGGACCTCTACCTGACTCTGCTGTACTCACTGTTGTATACCACATCCATCACAGGGCCTGGCACATGGTAGGTGCCCAATGCACATTGACTGGATGCTCAAAAGGCCTCCCTCTCCTCAGACTCTATCTTCTGGAGCGACACAGACGCTCATATCCCCATTCGCACCAACTCGGACCACTCTGACCAGCAGCAGCTGTTGCAGTCAGGAGACTCGACATTCGAATGGGAATCCCAGCCTCTGATTCAAGGGCAGAGGTGAAGGAACTGGCAGGGAAGGCACCTAAAACGAGGGCTAATATTTAAGCAAACTCTTGGTGTACAGAATGCTACTGAAATGCTGAAATGCTTCCAAACTAGTAGGCAAGTAGCTGCTGCTCAGGGGGCCGCTTTTGCCTCCCGCCAACGAGATCCCCTCCCTCTTGCCATCCAGCAGGGCGCCTCCAGAGCCAGCTCTTGTGCCTGGTCCAATTGGGCAGCGCCCCTCCCACAGCAGCTGTCATGCTGAGCCTCTCCTGAGGTGGCTGGCAGGCCTACCATCTGGCTTGACCTTCCGCTCTGCAGCTGGGCGCAGCTGTGAGTTCCTGGCCGCGTCCACGGGGCTTGTGGGCCCAAGGGGAGCAAGGGGGGCACGTGTCACAGGATTTGGGCTTTGCAAGGTCCCCAAAGTCTACCACTGTCCCTTTCCTCCATTTCTTCAGTTGACCTTTAATGAGTGGGAGCCCCTGGTTTTTCACCTGTAGAATGGGGATGGTATTAGTTAGTACCTATGTCAGAGGATTGGAAAGAGGAAAATGAATATAGAAGTCCTTAGTTCAGAAGCTGGGATGGAGTCAGTGTTCAACAATTGTTAGCCCTGATGATCATCTCTTACATTCAGACACTAGAGCCCAGAGTTTAGGTGTGTGGTGGGGTGTGCAGACTGCAGTAGTAGAGACAAGATTGTGACCCAGGTCTCCTGACTCTCAGTGCCTTGCTGCAGATTTTCCAGAGAACTTAGGAAATGTAGCATCTTCTCTCTGCTACTTGTAGATTTAAAATACACTTTAGCATGGAGGTGCCTGGGTGGTTCAATCCGTTAAGCACCAAACTCTTGGTTTTGGCTCAGGTCACAATCTCACAGTTTCGTGAGTTCGAGCCCCGCATGAGGCTCTGGGCTGGCAGCACAGAGCCTGCTTGGGATCCTCTCTTCCTCTCTGTCTCTCTCAAATAAAGAAGTAAAACTTTAAAACTCATGTAGCAAAGAGATCTGTCTAATTTTGTTTAACTCAGCATTTCTCCAAAGTATTTTACTATGAAGTCCTTTTTCCACAGTCAGTTTAGGAAAAGTCATACTCTTTACCTTTCCCTATCAACCTTGTTGTACCCTCTGTTCTCACTTCTTGGAATACCCTTCCCAATTTTATCTGTCATGAAACTCATTCACATGAAACAAATGTGCTATTATCTTTTTCTAATTACAGAGAAATGCCATGCTTGTAAAAGATCCCAACATCACAGACACACAATCGATGTTGAAAACATCTGTGGTCACGCCAGGATTGGGTGGCAAGTGCTGGCCTTCAGGATTTAGGAAACGGCAGTGAACCCAGCACGGAATGCACTCTTCATTCCTTCTCTGCATCTCCTTCCCCCTGTTCATTAGCAAATGCTTAGTGCATGTTTCCCGTCTGCAGGACCCCTCTCAGGTGCAAGGTCTCAGGGCCAGGCATTGGCAGCTAGTCTGGAGTCAGGCCGTCTGGTTGTGAACCTGGGCTCTCCTTATTAGCTGTGAAACCACGCAAGTGTGACTCAACATTCCTGTGCTTCAGTCTCCCTAGACAGAACCTGGGGAAAATAGCAGAATTTTCCTCATAGGGTTGTTGGAAGAATCAACTGGTCTAAAACATATCAGCTGCTTTAAAATGGTACCAGGCACAAGGTAAGGACTCAGTAAATGTCTGCCATTATATCATCAAAGACAAAAAGACCAGATTTCCAGGGCCTCCAAGAGCTCACAGTGACAGCCACAATGCAAGCTCCCAAAAGAGTGTGGCACCTTGAGGTGCTGTGAAGCCCCGTGGTTGGGCACCAGGCAGCATGCAAAGATTGGGTTCCATCTCTGCTCACATAACATCACAGCGGTTCTGTGGGGAAGGCAAACTGGAGTGGGCAGCAGCTACGCCTCCAAGCTCCAGGCCTCAGCCAGCTGCTCCCACCCATGGTCCACAGGGCCCCGGCTGTTCCCAGCTCCCAACAGGTGGAGTGCCAGGGCTGACTGAGATGTCACCGAGTCATTGGCCAAGCCAACACGCTGCAGATGTCTTCCGGAAGGAATGAGTGTCACAGTGTGAGGAGAGACACTGGGAAGAGTGGATAAAATCCCAGGGTAGCCACAGGCCTCAGCACCCCCACCCCCACCCTGCAAAGCACCAAGGGTAGCACAGATGCCCAGTCCAAGCCCCAAAGGGTTAAGAGGCCTAACCAGTCCACGAAGGTCCCTTCACATGGGCCTTCTCTTCTCCTCCCTCTGCCTCCATCAGAGGACATTTGCAACATAAACAGATTAGAAGGGCCTCTGTGGAACTGATAAGAAGGAAAATTAAAGCAAATAAACTCCAAAAAGGCAAGGACCAGGTAGGTCTTCTAGGTGGTGAGTCCCTTTCAGCACCCAGGCCAGTTTCGCTTAATGATATACAGACCCTGAATGAACACTGGCTAAGGCAGGGTCCTGCAGTAGCCCCCACCCACCTTCCTAACCCCAGGCAGGAATGTCTTGTTTGGCTTCAGATACCCTGAACGTCTCCCTCCCTTTCCTCATTCTACCTGTCTTTTCACTTGTTTCCAACTTTGGGCCTTGGAGGATCAAAGTCCCTGTGGACACCATGTATGAGGTATACCTATTTTTAAAATATTTTGGGCCTTAGGAACTCCTCTGAGAATCTGGGAGAAAAAGGCTCATGCACCCAAATATTTGCACACAATTTCTGGGGGGTTCATGGAACCGCTGAAGGCCCTCCATGAGCTAAGAACAAGAGTCCTAATTTCAACTCATACAGGGTGCCTGTCTTATTGTTCACATTATCTCTTTCTCTGTCTCTCTGTCACACACACACACACACACACACACACACACACACACACACACAATCGAGGCAGAATCGAGGCAAAGGAAACACTGTAGAGATGCTCACGGGCAGCGCAAAGCTTCATCCAATCAGGGCCACTTTCCCATACCCATCCCGCTTTCCTAATTAGACCAGGTTTTTCCTCTTGCAGGTCTGAGAAAAGGGAGCAAAGCAAGGAAAAGGGAGCAAACCAAAGCAAGTTCTCTAACCCCTCTGCCAGAGCATGGCCTAGAGGCCGGACAGGGCCCAGCACCATGAGGGAGTTCTTCCTATGGCCAGATGGCAAGGCCCTGCCTGCCTGCTTCAGGGTGCTGCTCCTGCTGCTCCCACACCTGCCCTGCCAGGCCTACCCAGATGGCCACCCTGGCCCCCTTGCCAAATGCAGCAGAGGGACTCAGGGAGGGCCAGTAGCCGGAGCCTTGCATAGGGGGACACCACTGGTCCTAAGCCCCTGGACTTCTCAGGGTTCTGTCTAAATTCTCATTCTTTCCTGCTCCCACATTCACTTCCCACAGGGCTCATTTCCCCCTCAATCTTCTCATCATAGAAGCATTTCCACTCGTTTCATCAAACCTCACAACCCAGGCTCTCTCAGAGGGTTCTAACGCACCTGCACCAGTCACTGGGCTCCAAGAGAAGGAGAAAAACGGACCAGCCCAAGGTACACCCTGGTCTGTAGTCCCCATCTCACCTCAAGAAGTGACCCAAAAGCAACAAGCCAAGAACACGTGCATGGCCTAGAGGAGAGGAACAGAGAATAGGGCAAAAACAGCCTCACAGAACAGAAACTCCAGCTCGACAGGCAGACTCACCATTTAGGGACAGCAACTCTGTGTGAGCTCTGCAGGTCTATGCGAACACTTGGGTTTAGGATAAGGAGATCAGATACCTAGCCTGGACTCTTCCTAAGGGAAGACTCTAGGATCTCCTGAAGTCTGCTCCTAGATGGGTGGAACTGCTCTCTCTCAATGGTGGGAAGCTCCAGGTCAGCGCCCACAGAGACAACGTCCCTGCCCCTGAGCCAGCTTGAATGGCATCCTGGATCCCTCTCATCACACCCACTAAAGAAACCACAGATTGTGTGGCTCCTGGGAGATCCTGCTGGATTTCATTCCTGTCCCTGCAGCTGACAAAGGAGTCAGATGCCTCTTGGCCCCTAAGGTCTGAACAGCCCACAGATCACAGAGCTGACCAGGTTGAGGCATGGATGCCCTCAGTGAGAGGCTATGGGTCTCCACATAGTTGTGTGGATGCAGCGCCTTCCTTGGGAGTCTCTGTGGAGGAAATGTACAAAAGGGAGCTGTGGTTAAGGGAGTCTCTGACCTTCAGGGCCCCTAGCAATGGACTTCCATTCAATGGACATGTTTCATTTACCCCCTTTCTTTTAACATTTATTCATTTTTGGGAGAGAGAGAGAGACAGTGTGAGTTGGGGAATGGCAGGGAGAGAGGGAGACACAGAACCTGAAGCAGGATCCAGGCTCTGAGTTGTCAGCACAGAGCCCGACGTGGGGTCTGAGCTCAAAGGGCGAGATCATGACCTGAGCCAAAGTTGGATGCTCAACCAAGCCACCCAAGCCCCTCTCGTTCACCCCTTTTTATGCCAAGCATATGTCAGGCACTTGGGAGATATAGGTATGAGGAGGACACTGTCCTTGTCCTAGAGGAGCCCCTGGCCTGGGGACATTCCAAGTTAGGAATGTTAAGACATTCCAAGACACTGCAGAGAGGAAGGCCAGGGAAAACTAAGGCCCACGTGCCAATGGACGGTGGTCAGGAAGGAAACTAACTGGTCAATAGTAAGAATAAGACCTAATGCTCCCTCTGCCTCACTGCCACCACCACATCACCCAACAGCAGGGGACAAGGAAGGAGGGAGCCAAAGGGTATGTGATGAAAACACAGCCTTCTGCAGGCTAAGGATCCTGGCCCAGGATGGGCAGTCATGCCCATAGCAGGAACTAGGGGAAAAATAATTCACATTCCTGAGGCTTCTGCTGTGACCCTGACACATCTCTCTTACCCAGGGAATCAGGCAGAACATCGCTCTCTCCACTGAAAACCTCAACGTTGGAGCCAATAGATTCAGACAGCAACTTTGCTCTCCAATCAAATAAAACTGTGTTCTCTGCTGAGGAAAGGGATTAAATCCCAGAGCTGAGCTCCAAGATGTGTGAGGAGAGGACAACAAAGCTAGGGCGGCCCACAGAGTCACTGTCATGGAATTTAGGGCTACAGGGACCTGGGGATGGCTTTCAAGCTGTCAAGGAGGGATAAGGCCGAAGTGGGGTAAGATAGGGGATGGCTTCTCCACCGGGGGCCTCTGAGGCAGAGTGGATGTTCTCCAGAACAGCGAGTGCCCAGCTCTCCTCTCATCCCATGCCTGCAGGTCCACCAAAGGCTCTAGCCTCCCTCAGAATGAATCCAGGAAAGGGGCGGCCAGGAGGGGAGAAGCGGGATCCGCTGCTGATCCCCTTGTGGCCAACAAGTTCTAAGCACTGATTGCCCCCATACCTGGGGAAACAAGAGAAGGAGTGCAGGAGCGGGCCTGCCTGGGCCTCAGTGGTCAGTATCCTCCGTGAAGAGCTACAAACTGCCTGTTCCGGCTTCCTGAGAACAACAGTCCACCTGGCTCCAGTACCAATGGGTAAGGCAAAGGCCAGCTCTTGCTCTGTCCACGGGGAGAACCCCCAGCCCTCACCTTCCTGGGGCTTCAGCACTTGCAAGGATGCTTGGGCTCTCTGAGGAGGAGGAGGAGGAGGAGGAATGGAGCTTTGTGTTGCCTCTGCCTTGGGGGGTGTGGGGGGAGGGGTCAGAGATCAAAGGGCAGGGAGCCGCTGCTCCCGGAGGGCAGAAAGGCAATAAACTGGTGGAGGGGCAGGGGAGTGGTGTGTGCAAATCCCGTTAGAAAAAAACCTAGCTGAATAGGCCCCCGGGAGAAGAGGGAGGCGGGGGACTGAGATGAGGAGAGCAGAGCCCGAGATGAAGAGGGTCACTAGTCCTGGGGCGGTAACAGAGACTGAAGCAGAGTTTGGGGCGCCCGTCCCAGATTAGTCGGTCGAGAATTTGAACAAAGGTGGGTGAAGGCTTCAAGCCCCCGGGTCAAGGATTGAGATCGCGTCCGTCAGGAACCGTGACATTGAGGGGCCCAGGCCCGGTCCCTGTCAGGCCACCTTTGTCCCTTTTGAAAGCCCCAGACCTCGTACCACCTCTCCTCTCGGCCACCCCCGCCCGGGGCAGCACTCACCCTGTCGCTGCTGGCGGGGGGTCCAGAGATCCGCTCCTCGGGAGGGGGCGCTGGGGGGCCAGGGGTCTCAACCCGAATAAGGCGGTGGGGAGGCGATCCGTGGCGCGGGGGCGGCGTGGGGCCGGGGACGGCGGGGGTGGCTGGGGCAGCAGCGGAGCTGGACGGCCCCCCAGAGTACGGGTCTTCGAAGTCGCGCTCCCTCTGCAGCCGGTAGGCGGCTAGGATGTCCGGGGGTGGCGCAGGGGGCGCGGCCGGGGACGGTCCGGGGGGACGGTAGTCCGGCTCCGGGGGCGCCGGCTTGCCTCCACCTCCGCCGCCGCCCCCCCCGCGGAAGCCCAGGTGCTCCCGGAGCCACTTGGCCACTCCGCCACTGCCGCCCCCTCCTGGGCCAGCTCCCGCTCCCCCCGCGCCTCGGCGCGATCCCCCCGGGCCGCTCCCCGAGCTCCCCTGTGCCCGCTGCCCCGGGCCGGAGCCCGCCGGAGCAGCTCCGCTCAGTAACATGGGGCCAACCACACTAAGCGAGGGGAGCTCTGTGGCCGGGCGGGGGGCGGGGGCCGGAGCGGGGCGGGGCGGAGCTTTGCCGGGCGGCGAGCGGGGGCGGGGCTCCTCAGCAACAAGGGAGGGGCGGGGTTCCGCTCGCTGTCGGGGTCGACCTCCCCCAGCTAGGGAGGAGAAGAGAGGGTGCGGGCTTCCAGCCGGTGTGGACGCACGAGAAGTAAGTGGGCGACCCCAGGGCAGAGGATACGAATCCTGGACTGAAGGTGAAACCTCCACGTGTCCCCACACGTGTCCCTGTGGGGGCGCACCCGTCTCCATCTGTTCCCTCTCCCCAGCTCCCAGCTCACGCGCGGCGCCTCACACTCCTGGGGGTCCCGGCCCCTGGACGCCTCCCGTCCCTCCCCTCCCCTCCCCCTAGGCCTCCTAAATGGAAAATATCCCAGGAGGAAAAGCTAGGGAGCGCGAGAGAAGGGGCTGTTCCGTAAGATGTGTCTGTAACAACCCCCTCTCTTCTGTGTACCATGGGAGCCCCACCTACCTCCTCCCATCCGACTGCTCCCACTGCATTGCTTCCCAATAGCAGCAGACACATCTCACATCACAGCTAATCAACTCCCTAGTGACACCCACATCTCCCGTGTCGTTTCCACACACGCCCTCCTCACATGCAAACAGCCCTCACGCAAACGCCTCCCATCCACCCGCGCACCCGCTTGGAGCAGGCCCACCCGGCCCTGACGGCCTCATGCGCACACACGCAGAAATCCCTTCAATCAAATCCCAGGTTTCATTGTCAATCAGATTAGTGACAGAATAGAAACAGACAAGTCAATAAATCAAGTCTAGAAACAGTTCCAATGTTGTCTATCACAAACCCCTTATCCTCTGGAGGCTCGGATGCTCAAGCGTAGGCATTATGGGCTTAGAAATAAAGCCAGTTTCTCCACAGAAATAATGTAGCCCTGAAGCCAACACCAGTGTTTGCTTTTGGCTGTGCTGGGAAGGTAGCGGCTTCGCCTCAGCATCATCCAGCCCCCCCCACCCCCGGCACTGCCTCAGAGTCTCTCTCACCCTTGGACTCACATCTGCCATGTGAGGGAGCAGAGAGCCACATGAAGCCCCAAAGGGAAGGGGGCTCAAAGGTGTGGGAGTAGAGAAGGATGTGATAGGAAACCTGGGATCCCAGGGCTCAGGACTGCAAATATTTGTTGGTTTTCTGTTTTGTGCATATTCTAGTTGGCATTATAGGACAGTGCTTCTCAAACTTTAATGTGAACATGAATTACCTAGACAACTTGATAAATTGCACTTTCTGATTCTGTAAGTCTAGCTGGGGTGGGGTCCCAGGCTGTAGTTTTAACAGGCTCACAGGTTATCCAGATGCTGCTGTTCTCCGCACCCCACCCCCAAACACACACACACTTGGAGTAGTAGGGCTGTGGGAGACACTGACTCAGGAGTCCAATAGTTGTGGTCTCTTGCCAGATTTCTGGGCATGATACTCAGTGCAACTGATTCTCATTTTCCTTTTATCTGCAAAGGGCATAATAATTGTTGTGTGAGGATTAGGGAGATGATGGATAATCAACAGGCTCTGAAACCTGTAAAATGCTTACAATGGTAGGTGTCACATGAAGGCCCATATGTTTAAGAAGTATGGAGTTAAGTTGCTGACAGCTTAGAGGAATGGAATCAATGAAGTCTACACAAAAGATGCCTTCATGGGGGAAGTAGGCCTGAGTGGGTAGGATTTGGACAGATGAAGCAAAAGGGTGAAAAGTCACTCTAAGCTACGAGGTCAGCATCAGCTGAGCGAAGGCAATGGGGTAGGAAACAGCATAAAGATTTGTGGTGGTAAAGAATAGGAAAAATTGCTAGATGAGGAGGGGGAGGATGTGATAAAGGTAGTCTTTAAATCATAATTTTAAAACTAATGCCTTGTGTGCACCTTGAAGTTCCTGTTGTTTTAAATGATCTGTTAATGCACTTTCTTCTCTTATCACCTTGAAGTTCCTGTTGTTTTAAATGATCTGTTAATGCACTTTCTTCTCTTATCAGNTGTTTTAAATGATCTGTTAATGCACTTTCTTCTCTTATCACCTTGAAGTTCCTGTTGTTTTAAATGATCTGTTAATGCACTTTCTTCTCTTATCAGAGTATGGACTCCTGGAAGCAGGCCATTGAGCACCTCCGGGGGAGGGGGGGGCGGCAAAGGAGCTTGCTATGAACCAAGGATATAGAGGTGAGGTCATCACAGCAAGGCTCTCTGAGACTTGGGTGAGGTTTGCCAGATCCAAAGTCTTGCATTTTAAGCATTACACCATAAAATCAGGAGTCTGTAGGAGAGCAGGGTGCTCCCATCATTTAGTGCAGAGCCTGTCATGTGGCAGGAGCTTAACAAATGTTGAAATGAATAAAGATAATTTCTCTTGTTCTTATTTTTATATAGCTATAATTGCAGTATACACAATTTTATGTCCTTATTTTTTTCACTTAACATTGCATAATTTCCCCATTTTTATCACATAAGCTTTATTTTCTTCCATTTTTAAAAAAATATCAAACCTATAGACAAGTCCAAAGAAAGTACAGTGGAAATCTGTGTGCCCTTCCCCTAGATTCACTACTTTTTAACATTTTGCCATATTTACTGTATCCCTTTCTCTTCTTTCCTTAAACATCTGATGCAATTTGCAAATATGACACTTTCGCTCTAAATAATTCAACAGTCATTTCCTAAAAATAAAGAATTCTTCTATAGGGCCATATGAACACGTCCACAATAATGCTATCTGTTATGCAGCCCATATTAAATGTTTCCCTCAAAATGTCTTTTACATATATATATATTTAAATTTTTTTAAAACATTTATTCATTTTTGAGAAAGAGATAGAGTGCAAGTGGGGGAGGGGCCGAGAGAGGGAAACAGAATCTGAAGCAGGCTCCAGGCTCTGAGCTGTTAGCACAGAGCCCTATGACGACGACGCAGGGCTTGAAGCCACAAGTGGTAAGATCATGACCTGAGCTGAAGTTGGATGCTTAACCGATTGAGCCACCCAGGTACCCCTACTTTTTAAAAAATTTTTAAAATTAAATTCATTTTTGAGAGAGTCAGAGCACTAGCGGGAGAGGGACAAAGAGAGAGGGAGATACAGAATCCGAATCAGGCTCCAGGCTCTGAGCTGTCAGCACAGAGCCCAACACTGGGCTTGTACTCATGGTGAGATCATGACCTGAGCCAAAGTCGGACACCCAACTGATGAAGCCACCCAGGTATCCCTACATATATATTTTTGTCTTGATTCAGGATTGAATCAGGGCTCTTCCAATGCATTTGTTTGTTAAGATTCTTTAGTCTTTTGAAATTTTGAACAGTTCCCCATTTTATCGTTGCTACTTTGTTTTTCATGATATTGATCATTATGAAGCATCCAGGGCAGTTGTCATGTAGAATGTTCCACATTCTGGGTCTTTCCATAGTTTATTAGATTCAGTCTGGACATTTTGTAAAAGACCACTACATAGGGGATGTTGTGGACTTCCCACTGTTTCACACTGGCAGGCCAGTAGTGCACATTTGTCCCTTTATTGGCAAAAATAGGCCAGATCACTTGGTTTATCTGGAGTCTATCAGATCTTTCCTTTACAATTTAAAGTAAGCTGTCATGTGATATCCTAAGGTCTTTGATTATTTGCTCCCAATAATGTTTTACCTAGCGGTTTTTAGCTTCCATTGATGATCTCTGCTTGTATTTGTTATTACACTGAGGATTGCAAAATGGTGACTCTAATTCTGTCATTTCTTCTGCATTTATTATCTTGCATTCTTTTGTAAAGAAGAGCTGCTGCTGCTTCTATCTCTGACTCTCTGTTTCTGTTTCTCTCATCTCCATCATTTCCAAAATTACCAATCTATCTATCTACCAGTCCAATGTGATATAACCCATTATCATTATTACTGTTATTACTTTTTGATGCTCCAGTACACAGCTCTTTAAAGAGGCTCCTGTGTACTTTTGATGTGGTCCCATCAATATTTAAGCAGTTAACTTGCTTTCTTACAGATAATATTCCAGACTTATACTTCCCCTGCTATAGACCTGTAATCAGCCATTTTTAAAAGGGGAACTTCATTTCTTTTAGTTGGAGGTGGTATTTAAAAGCTGACTTATCACTGCATTTATGTAATTTTGATACTTTAAAAATGACTACTCAGTACATTATCAAATGAACATATTTTAGTTTAGTTCAATATCACTTTATTTGTTGCACATTTAGGCTATTTGCACTCTCTTCCCTTCTAAATAACCCTGTAATAAACATCTTTTTGCACATAACTTTTCCAAGTTTTGGGTTATTTCCTTTAGTAATATTCCCAGAAATGGAATTATTGGGGCAAAGCTGTACTTTTCTTTTTCTGACTCTTGATAAACATTGCCTAGTTGATTTCATGGAAGGTTGTTAAAATCCACAATGACTTCTAAGTGTCAAACCCAATGATTTTATCGTATTCCTCTTTCTCCTTTGCAGCACCTGAATGTGCTGACCTCCATCTCTGAAACCTTCTCCCGAACTTTCCTTAAATGACACTGTTATGGTTCTCCTCCTTTTATTCAGGCCACATTCTCTTCCTCCTTTAACCTCCTAAATTTATGCCTGTCTCAAGGCCTAGTCCTTAGCCCTCACTTTTCTTAGTGGGTACTGAGTAGAGTGTCCTCCCTTCTGTTTGTCTGACTTTGGGTGCCCAGTCCTCTCCTAAGCTCGGATCCCTTCTGGGTTTTTCCTTCTAAGAGTGGTCCTTGCCTTTTGTCTCCAGCCTTGCCTCAGGCCGATCTCTGTTCACAAACTTGAGAGAAGAAACATCTTAGTTTACTTATGCATGCACTCTGTTCTTTGAGATTCTAGATGTAGATGGAGTTTCATTTGGGCCAAGTTTTCTATTTGATATGAAAATAACATGGTTTTGTTTTGAAAGAATACAACCTAAGATGCAACCATGAAGTAAACTGGGCCGCTTGACTCAGTTATGGACTCCATAAGAAACCTCTCTTCAAATATTTATGGAGAGGCTGTATGCTTGGAATATACACATAGTGAAATTCAGTTCTACCTTTCATTAACCTGAATTTTCTAACTGATTATAAGATAGCGGAGAGATGGAAATGAAGGATCTCTAAATGGACTACCGAGTCCCTCTTCCCAACTCCCAAACTAGTATACTACCCTGCCCTTCCAGCACGAAATCAAAATAGGGCTGCTTCTCAGCAGAGCCCAGGCTACCATCAAAAAGTTTTTTATAAACACAGTAAGGAATCCCTTTCCCATATATCTCACCAACCCAGCCAGCCCTCACCTGCCCCAGCCAGGATCCAGGGCCTCAGGAGAAAAATGACAGGATCACTGGGTGGATAGTCCCTCCAGGTATGTGGATTCTTCCTTGTAAAGGGAGTTTGCCTATCTGCATATTTATCACCTCAAGCGCTGTCTGACTTCTGGGGGTGAAAGCGAGGAAGGGAAGAGGTCATTTGTGTCATGCAAGAAGCAGAAGTGGGGGTTATATTTTTAGACATATATGCATATACAATTATTTGTTTATACAAGGGCTGTCATGGAAAGATATGAGAGAAACCAAAAATTGGTGGGTGAGGTGAAGAATGAGAGGGAGGCTTACTTTTCACTGGACTTGTACATGTATTCTCTATTTAAACATGAAAAACTCAATTTAAAAATTCATGAAAAGGGAAAAAATCGGAAGGTCACATGGGCGCGGTTTTGCTGCTGTAGAGTGATTTGGATAAGGGTTTCCAATTTTTTCGGGCAGGATGGGATTCTAACTCATGTGAAATAGAATTCACAATTCATTAAATTGTGCTCGCTTCGGCAACACATATACTACAATTAGAATTCAGAGCACTGCATGAGAATTGCTGGAGGTGGCGATCTTAGGGGTGGCTCAGTTTTCAAGGTGGAAAGACCCGGTGGCGGTTTATTTCAAGAAAGAGATGTGACCTATAGAAAACGTTGTCCGTACGAAAAGAAAAAAAAAATTAAAAAGACGAGCCCCTTGCCGTGCCATTGTTCCCACAATGCCGTGACTCGGATTCGAACCGAGGTTGCTGCGGCCACAACGCAGAGTACTAACCACTATACGATCACGGCGAGCTACCGGGGACCTGTAAGGATAGACTTCTGATTGTCCTCTTCAACAGTCATAGGCCTTCCCCGTCTTCACGTCACCAAGAGTTCCACCTATAGGGCGGAGTTCCAGCCTAACGCGAATCTGAGAATGCGCAGGCGCATTGCGCTCTCGCCAGTTGCTCTTCCTCTCTCAGGTTTTGGTCACAGAAAGTGTTGATGTTGGAGTGGGGAAGGGTGGGTTCCATGTGAATGAGGTGAGAGCTTAGGGGGACCACTTGGGCATTCAGGGACGCGACTGGCCGGAACTCTGTGTCCACAAGTTGTAACTCCCATTCCTAGCAGGATGTCCATCTCCTGTGCCTGGGAGATCTTTGCAGCGACCCCGGGTCTAAAGGGGCGCTTCTAAGGGGGTTTTCTTCCCTGCTGATTCCCCCAGGAGTGACCCAACATCGCCTCCGCGGAGGATGTGGACGCCCCCAGGCCTGACTGGACACGTGTTAAGGGGCTCAATGAACGCATCTCACCAAGCCGACTCCCTGCCCACCAACTGCCTTGCAGCTTCTGCTACTGCCCCAACGATCCTGCCTTCTCCTTCCGCGGTACTCCCGCCGGTACCGGTGCCCACCTCGGTTGTGCCCTGGGCAGCACAACCGTGCGATTTTTCTTCTTGTCCAGCAGTGGTCCCGCTCCCACCGCGCCTAGAACCGGGCCGAGTCCACAGCAGGCGGAGGATTTTTGCTAAACTGAGAAAGTGCTACTAGTTGTAACAAGAGAATCCAGGGTGACCACCTGTCTGCTCTAATCATCACTCGTACTCGCTGCAGAGTCACCAGAGGGATGTTACTAAACACAAACGGAATCCTTTCACTCCTCCACCCCTCACCCCCTCTTACAGACTGCAGGAAATTCGTCCACCTTTTGCAGCTCGTCTCTTGACCCTCCCTCAGTGTCGCTTCCCATTCCCGAATTATTCGCATTCATTCATTCAACAGGTGGGGTTGAGGGTGGGGAAGAGGTAGGATTTATAGAGGAATTGCCGCTAATTCCTTTTTGAGACCTCCATCATGCCTTTGCACACGAGATTATCCTGGCAGCTCGGCAAATTTTCTGCCTTTGAGAGCTACTTCAAAAATCACCTCCTTTGTGAAGCCTTCTCTCCCTCTTACTACTGGGAGTCCTTTTCCAACGCTGCCATGGAAACTCAGATATATGCCTATAACAACACTTACTAGCCTTGTGAGTGCTCTGTGCTTTGTCTCCAGCAGTATAGCGCGTGGCTGGAGAAAACAGGAAGCGTATATTCTTCCGAGGTCCAATTTAGCCAGAGCTGGCATGATGTTAACGTCGTTTCCAACTGGCACAAGGGGATTGGGATCCATTCCCCAGAACGTTGTTACAAACTCGAAATAAAAATGGAGGACAGCAACAAAAGCCAAGCCCCCTGCCGTGCCACTGCTTTCGCAATGCCGTGACTCGGATTCGAACCGAGGTTGCTGCGGCCACAACGCAGAGTACTAACCACTATACGATCACGGCGAGCTACTGGGGACTTGGCCTTCGGTTTCCTCGCCGGGGTTCTTCTCTATCGAAAGCCCCGCCCCCTTGTTACGTCACAATCGGCTCTTGCTGATCTCCAATTTAGCCTCTTGCTCACACTACGCTGACAACGCTGGTCTCCCGCTTTCTGGGTTTCGGTCCACACTCGCCCGGGGGTCAGATCCCACCGCCTCACCAGTTTGGAGGCTGCGTCACTCCCCACCCCTGCCAAGCGCCTCGGAGGAAGTTGTGCGGGTGCGTCGGAACTGATTATTTCCTTCTTGTAGAATTCTAGAGACAGCCCCGTTCCCGCCAGAGTCTCCTTAGATGGCGTGAGCGCCAGGGCATGGGGCGAGGGGGGCGGGGGGGGGGGTGACAGGGACCTACCATTCGGGCGACCCCGATGCATCGCGTCCGTACAGACTACGTGAGCGTAATGGCTTCATCGCAGTCCTTTCAAGATCCGTGCGCACTGCCTGCCGAGGCCGGCCGGGGAGCCCACGGCGCCCCTGCTTCGCTTCGGGGTCAGCGCGAGGGCCACACAGGCCTGGCGGACCGCGGGCGACTTTGGAAGGCCAAGGCGACCGGCCAGCTAGACCAGAAGACCCACACTTGGAGACAAGGTTTTGCGTGGCGTCCCGGTAGCGCGCCGTGATCGTATAGTGGTTAGTACTCTGCGTTGTGGCCGCAGCAACCTCGGTTCGAATCCGAGTCACGGCATTGTGGGAACAATGGCACGGCTAGGGCGTCCTTTTTAGATTTGGGGAGCCACACTGCACCCCGTGGCTGTGACCAGGCAGCTCCTTAATATTAGGTTAGGGCCGAAATTGAAGTTCTGGAACTTTACTTCCTCCTTCCGATTCTACAAGTGCTAGTGAGTCAGCCCACCCTCCATCTTACCCGCTCGCTGCATGTTTTAGGACGTTGTTCTGTGGGATACTTTCTCTTTCCTCATTTGGCCTCTGTTAATGGTCAGATCGCACACCGCGTCCTCAGAAAAGCCTCACCCTGCTAAAACTTCAGTATTTTGAGTGTAGGAGCTATAGGAACAAATGGCGAACATCTATTAAAGGTTAGAAGAATGCAGATCAGACAATAGAGTGAACCATTTCTGGTTCAGATCCTGTGACAAATGAAAAATATGACCCCACTGGAGGCACTGTTTCCCATAGCCACTGTGAGCGGTGCTTGTGGCCTCCGTTTACACAGTCTCCTAGGTGAGAGGTGTTTTCTCTGGGAAGATTTTTTCCTAACCCATCTCAGAACTAAAGCAAATTTTGTTAGCTTGTTTTATGTGCGCTTAAAAAATCCAAACTCCACAAACTCGGGTCTGTCATTTGGCATTAGGCAAAATGGAAGTGAGTTGTGGATTTGGCTCTCAAGTGGCTTCTGGTGGCTATGTCACTGTCAAGGAGGAAATGAAATAGGACTGAGTGAAGAATGAGCCTCTCCAGCTCCTCTCTGGGGACCTGAGGGTGGCAAAGCAAGTCAGGAAGCATTTCTGGAAGAGATGGACCTTCCGGTGGAGTGCCCGCTCTATTCACAATCCATCAGCAAAAATTCACTGAACAGCATGTAAAAAGCAAGACAGTGCTGCATGCTGCAGTTTCCCTGGGTCTCCCTGCTCCTAGTTCCCTAAATTTGATTAAGTTTAAAGCCACAAAATAGGACAGCTCAGACCATGAAAGAATAGAATGATGGAAGGTGAACCTGAGAATTTGATTTTCCTTCCATCTTGAGGTCTTTTCTAGGCACCAGAACCAGGAAAGGGGCAGGGCCTATAAGAAAGAACTCTCTAGTCACACATTCCAGCTCCAGCTGTTTCTGTTTTGGGGACAGATTTGTTATTTTCTGTAAGCTTCCAGTCTCCACTCTAAGTCACTTAATTTATTTCTTGTCCTTCCAATAGACTCCATAGTAGCTGACACTCTTTCTTTAGGCTATTCCTAACTCTATTTAAGGTTAGCATAGTTTAATAATTAATCCTGTGAGAACTGGAAGCAGGCTGCCTAGAGTCTGAACCTGACTCCAGCATTAATTAGCTGGATGAGTTTAGGTAAGTCACATAATGTCTCTCTGCCCCAGTTTTCTCATTTGTAAAATGGGAATAAAAGCAGGCTTATTATGAGAATTAAATGAGTTAATATTTGTAAAGCAACAGTGCCTGCCACTCACCAAGCCCTATTTAAGTTTTACTTAAATAAACTAGTAATGAAATCATCTCCTTAGAAATAAACACACCGGTCCTTAAGCTCTACGTGTTTCAAAGTAGACATTTCCCTTTCTCCAACCAACTGCTCTAAACATTTTTGGAACTCTTGTTTGGGGATAACTTTCAGGGGCTGATTTATAAGCCATGTAAGTAAATCCATCTCAATATTTATAATCCCACATTTTATTTTGAAATGTTTTCTTGACTGCTTTTCAAATTCACCTTCAAAGAAAAAGATGTCACCACTGAGTTTTAAAGGTGTGATAAAAGCTTCAACAGCAATTCCAAAAATGTTTTAGTCAACATTCCTGCAACATATATATATATATATATATATATATATATTTGGTATAAGTGTGTTGACTTTTAAGGGGCAGTCCTTGAAGGGGACAACTGTTCCCTTGAGATCACTCTTTTGCATAAAGAGTCAACCCTATGGCTTCCTGGTCACATTTGGTACATCTGGGAGCTGCTGCTGCTATAGCTGCTGGTCACCACAGAGGTGCAGTACTGACTGGACCAGCAGCCTTCGTATCACCTGGAAGATGGTTCAAAATTCAGAATCTTCTTTCATAACCCAAAACCACTAGATCGGAATCTTCATTATAATAAGATCCTCCCAAGGTGATGCATCTGCACATTAAAGTTTGAGAAGTGCTGCTGTTGTCTAGAACGTGGCTGGAATGGAGCCATTCATTGTTCACCTTGTCAGTACTTGGGATTACTAGAAGGGACCTGCCAGAGTCTACTGGGCCACATCCAGGGGACTAACATTAAGGTTTTGAGGGTGAAAAGATGGAGAGTCTGGGAGGGAGTCACCAAGAGGCCGGTATTTGGGCATGGCTAGGAAGAGGCAGCACCCCTGGACTACCACTAGGAGGTGCTGCACCTCAGGAAGTGGATGTGGAATGCTGAGACTGGGTAAGACTCAGTCTAGAAGACACCACTTTGGATTTAACCCCCAACAGGGAGCCTATTCCTCAGGGATTCTCTGGAATTTCAGGACTAAAGTTTCATTCATTCATTCATTCATTCATTCATTCTTCATTCATTTAGGCAACTAGCATCTTTTAGCTCAACAAGTGCTGTGCATCCTGGGGAGCTCCAAAAGTATATACTGATACTCTTTACCCAAAATGGTTTAGTTTTCTAGCCAAGAGAAACAACTAGCCCAGAGGCAACAATCAGAAAACAACACAAGAAATGGTAGAAGGGAGAGACATTTTTTGCTGCAGTGAAGCAAAACTTTCCAAGGAAGGCTGATATAAACTATCACCAGAATTATAAAATAATTGAAGTTTATTTTTAGCTCTTCCAACTTCCTCACTCTGACACCCTTCCATCTCTTTTGTTGTTCTTATCTCATTCATTCTCAATCATTAGATCAACAATATTTGCTGAGGGGCTACTGTGTGCCAGGCACTGTTCTAGGTTCTTGGGCTATAGTACTGAATAAAACAGATTTGTTGTTCTCAGAGGCCTATAATCTAGTGCAGACATCAGAAAGGAAAGCTAAACAAAAAGGAAATAGAACTTGAGCCAATGGAAATAATGTGATACAGATAATGTGATACTGTTCCCTGTCTATCGTCTACCCTTCTATTCCCTCAATTCCTTTGTCTGTACAGAGTATGATGACTGATAATATTAACTGTTGTATTTTATTTTATTTTTTAAATGTTTTATTTACTTCTGAGAGAGAGACAGCGTGAACAGGGGAGGGTCAGAGTGAGAGGGAGACACAGAATCCGAAACAGGCTCCAGGCTCTGACCTAGCTGTCAGCATAGAGTCTGACACGGGGCTCAAACCCATTAATCGTGAGATCATATTCTGAGCCAAAGTCGGACGCTTAACCGACTGAGCCACCCAGGCACCCCTTAACTGTTGTATTTTAAAAGGATCAAAATTTACACTGAAGAGATAAGTTCTAACCCTGAGTGGCCCAGATATGGCATAAAGAGCCTTCAGGTTGGAGGCAGTCTTGTGTGGACAGGGTAAGGAGGACTCCCTGGTGATCTGCATGGAGCTGCAATAACATCCAGTACATCTAAGTGGATGCTAAGGGCCAATGAACAGAACCAGATGAACCCTCTGGTTTTTAAGGACCCCAGGCAAACAAAGCATCTACCCAAAAATGTAAGACAGTTCTTATGAAAGAATAAAAAGCACTAAGGTGATAATTTCAGGAAAGAGGGAATAAAAACCCCAAAACTTTGTTAGGAAATAATGAATTGTAAGTATTTAAATTTTTTTTCAATTACGTATGACTCATCATAATCTTTTCAGTGCTTAAGACCTTGGGAGGTATAATTTAGCCCTGCTTGTACACTAAGTCATTCCCCCAGATCAAAGATGCCACCCTCAGGGAAAGAAAGGGAGAGGGACTCTGAATTAAGATCACATTTGTCACCTAGTGCAACATATTCAAATTGAAAATAAATTCAGTAAGAACAAGAGATAAAGTTGCTTGTATTCTTGAGTTTTTAACTCACATGTGCACCTAATACACATGCCAAGTGACCAGCACAGAGGTTGACACATGGTAAGTGGTCAGTATGCTTAGTTGGTCTCTTGTTTCTAGGTTCTTCTCTCTACTCCTGCAAAAAGAAACCCATGGGGAGATCTAGTAGGACTATTCCTGTCTTTCCTAAAACTCATTCCTGAAGAAGAAAGCAGGAGCCGCCTCTCAGAAGCAAAGCTTTAAATCAGAGATTTCCAAGCATTACTCTAGAACTCAGAAACAGGGATGAAGTTTTCATCATGCATTAAGAGAAAATAAGGTCATGCGGTAAGCTTTTTAAAAGGCTAAATGTATTTAATTCGAAAGGCTGTCTTCTAGGCTGAGATTATGTCCTTCATACTTTTGAGGTGTTAACGTGACTTTGCTTTTATTACCTGGTGGAGAACTGATAATTTTTTTAAAGTCTTTACTTGGAAAATTAAAAATTGGCAAGCCTATGTTGCTCTCCAAAAATATTTTTGAAATTTTATAAGTCACTAAAATCTAAAAGTACAAAACTCATTACAAGCAAAGCATTAGGTTGAGAAGAAATGATCTTCAGTTTATAGGGAGTCTGCAGAGAAAGGCTCAGAGGGAGGTGTTCCTGTTCTGTCAGGCAGTGGTCCAAGCCAACACCCATCCACCTACCCAACAAACAGTGGGTCCTAGTATGATCTATGCTAGGCCTTGAGAAATATATTTAAATAAAAGTCATTATTACTCTGATATGATCGTTTCAGTCCAGGGTTAATCAGAAGAGGGAAGAAACAATTACAATTATGTTAGAAGTATATATGAACTGCATTACAGCTTAGATCATTCATTCCCCCAGGATATGATATTTGAGCTGGGTTCCAAGGCATGCAGAGTAATTTTCCTGGCAGAAAAGGGGGAAAGGTATTCTAGGCAGAGAGAAAGACAGAAACAAAGGCAAGGAAGCATGAACATACAGGTAGCATTGGCAAAGACAAGTCATAGCTGTGTCATACGTTTAGGAAGGGAGGATAAGGGTGGAGCCAAATTGTGATGATTTTCTTGCCCCTTGTTGAGTCAGGCCTTTTTATTCCCTTTATTTTCTTTATTTTTTTATTGCAAATATTCTTTTTAAAAATTTATATCCAAGTTAGCATGTAGTGCAACAATGATTTCAGGAGATTCCTTAAAGCCCCTTACCCATTTAGCCCACCCCCCACTTCCACAATCCCTCCAGCAACCCTCTGTTTGTTCTCTATATTTAAGAGTCTCTTATGTGTTGTCCCCCTCCCTGTTTTTATATTATTTTTGCTTCCCTTCCCTTATGTTCATCTGTTTTGTATCTTAAAGTCCTCAAATGAGTGAAGCCATATGATAAATTTCTCTTTCTCTGACTAATTTCATTTAGCATAACACCCTCTAGTTCCATCCACATAGTTGCAAACGGCAAGATTTCATTCTTTTTGATTGCCTAGTAATACTCCATTGTATATATTTACCACCTCTTCTTTATCCATTCATCCATTGATGGACATTTGGGCTCTTTCCATACGTTGGCTATTGTTGATAGTGCTACTATAAACTTTGGGATGTATGTGCCCATTTGAAACAGCATATCTGTATCTCTTGGATAGATACCTAGTAGTGCAATTGCTGGGTCCTACAGTAGTTCTATTTTTAATTTTTTGAGAAACCTCTATAATGTTTTCCAGAATGGCCGCACCAGTTTGCATTCCAACCAGCAGTGCAAAAGAGATCTTTCTCTGCATCTTCACCAACATCTGTTGTTGCCTGAGTTGTTAATGTTAGCCATTCTGACAGGTGTGAGATGCTATCTCATTGTGGTTTTGATTGGTATTTCCCTGATGATGAGTGATGTTGAGCATTTTTTCATGTGATGTTTGGCCATTTGGATGTCTTCTTTGGATAAGTGACTATTCTTCTCTTCAGCCCATTTCTTCACTGGATTAATTGTATTTTGGGTGTTGAGTTTGGTAAGTTCTTTATTGAATTTAGATATTAACCCTTTACCTGGTATATCATTTGCAAATATCTTCTCCCATTCCGTCAGTTGCCTTTTAGTTTTGCTGATTGTTTACTTCACTGTGCAGAAGCTTTTTGTTTTCATGTGGTCCCAATAGTCCAATTTTGCTTTTGTTTCCCTTGCCTCTGGAGAAGTGTTGAATAAGAAGTTGCTGCAGCCAAGGTCAAAGAGGTTTTTGCCTGGTTTCTCCAGTAGGATTTTGATGGCTTCCTGTCTTATGTTTAGGTCTTTCATCCATTTTGAGTTTATTTTTGTGTATGGTGTAAGAAAATGGTCCACATTCATTTTTCTGCATGTTGCTGTCCAGTTTTCCCAACACCACTTGCTGAAGAGAGTGTCTTTATTACATTTGATATTCTTTCCTGCCATGTCAAAGATTAGTTGGCCATACCAATATTTTGTGGGTCAAACTGGATTTTCTATTCTGTTCCATTGATCTGAGTGTCTGTTTTTGTGCCAGTAGCGTATTGTCTTAATGATTACAGCTTTGTAATACAGCTTGAAGTCCAAGATTAGTGTTGCCTCCAGCTTTGGTTTTCTTTTTCAAGATTGCTTTGGCTATTCTGGGTCTTTTCTGATTCCATACAAGTTTTAGGATTGTTTGTTCTAGCTCTGTGAAGAATGGTGGTGTTATTTTGATAGGGATTACATTGAATATGTAGATTGTTTTGAGTAGTATTGACATTTTAACAATATTTGTTCTTTCTATCCAGGAGCATGGATAATTTTTCTATTTTTGTGTGTCTTTTTCAATTTCTTTCACAAGCTTTCTATAGTTTTCAGTGTATAGATTTTTCACCTCTTTGGTTAGATTTATTCCTAGGTATTTTATGGTTTTTGGTGCAATTGTAAATGGGATCAATTCTTTGATTTCTCTTTCTGTTGCTTCATTATTATTGTATAGGAATGCAACTGATTTCTGTGCATTGATTTTATATCCTTTGACTTTGCTGAATTCATGGATCAGTTCTAGCAGTTTTTTTGGTGGAATCTTTTGGGTTTTCCATATAGAGTTTCATATCATCTGTGAAGAGTGAAAGTTTGACCTCCTCCTGGCCTATTTGGATACCATTTATTTCTTTGTGTTGTCTGATTGCTGAGGCTAAGACCTCCAATACTGTGTTGAATAACAGTGGCAAGAATGGACATCCTTGTCTTGTTCTTGACCTTAGGGGAAGAACTCTCAGTTTTTTCCCATTGAGGATGATATTAGCGGTGGGTCTTTCATATATGACTTTTGTGATCTCAAGGTATGATCCCTCTACTTTCTTTAGGGTTTTTATCAAAAAAGGATGCTGTATTTTGTCAAATGCTTTCTCTGCATCTATGGAGAGGATCATGTGGGTCTTGTCCTTTCTTTTATTGATATGATCTATCATATTGATTGTTTTGTGGATATTGAACCAGCCCTGCATCCCAGGTGTATATCCCACTTGATCATGGTGAATAATTTTTTTTAATGTCTTGTTGTATCTGGTTGGCTAGTATCTTGTTGAGAATGTTTGCATCCTTGTTCATCAGGGAAATTGGTCTGTAGTTCTCCTTTTTAGTGGGATCTTTGTCTGGCTTTGGAATCAAGGTAATTCTGGATTCATAGAAAGAGTTTGGAAGTTTTTCTTCCATTTCTATATTTTGGAACAGCTTCAAGAGAATATGTGTTAACTCTTCTTTAAATGTTTGGTAGAATTCCCCTGGAAAGCCTTCCACCCCTGGACTCTTGTTTTTTTGGGAGATTTTTCATTACTAAGTCAATTTCTTTACTGGTTATGGGTGTGTTCCAATTTTCTATTTCTTCCTATCTCAGTTTTGGTAGTTTATGTATGTTTCTACGAATTTGTCCATTTCTTCCAGATAGCCTGTTTTATTGGCATATAATTGCTCATAATATTCTCTTATTATTATTTATATTTCTGCAGTGTTGGTTGTGATCTCTTTTCTTCCATTCTTGATTTTCTCTATTTGGATCCTTACCTTTTTTTTTTTTTTTTTTTAATCAAACTGGTTAGAGGTTTATCGATTTTGTTAATTCTTTCAAAGAACCACCTTCTGGTTTCATTGGTCTGTTCTACTGGTTTTTGTTTTTTGGTTTTTTGTTTTGTTTTGTTTTTATAGCATTGATTTCTCCTCTAATCTTTATTAGTTCCTCACTTCTGCTGGTTTTGGGTTTTATTTGCTGTTCTTTTTCCAGCTCTTTAAGGTAATGTGAGGTTGTAAAGTTAGGTTGTGTATCTGAGACTTTTATTCCTTCTTTAGGAAGGCCTGATTTGTTATATACTTTCCTCTTATGACCCCCTTTGCTACATCCCAGAGGTTTTTGGCTGTGGTGTTATCATTTTCATTGGCTTCCATGTACTTTTGAATTTCCTCTTTAACTTCTTGGTTAGCCCATTCATTCTTTAGTAGGGTAGTCTTTAGTCTACAAGTATTTGTTATCTTTTCACATTTTTTCTTGTTATTGATTTCGAGTTTCATAGCATTGTAGTCTAAAAATATGCATGATATGATTTCAGTCTTTTTGTACTTGTTGAGGGCTTATTTGTGTCCCAGTATGTGATCTATTCTGGAGAAAGTTCCATGTGCACTCGAGAAGAATGTGTATTCTGCCGCTTTAAAATGAAATGTTCTGAACGTATCTGTTAAGTCCTTCTGGTCCAGTGTGTCATTCAAACCTGTTGTTTCCTTGTTGATTTTCTGTTTAGATCATCTGTCCATTGCTGTAAGTGGGATGTTGAAGTCCCCTGCTAATATGGCATTATCACCAATGAGTTTCTTTATGTTTGTGATTGATTTATATATTTGGATGCTTTCACATTTAGAGCATAAATATTTACAATTGTTAGGTCTTCTTAGTGGATAGATCCCTTAATTATGATATAATGCCCTCCTTCATCTCTTGTTACAGTCTTTATTTTAAAGTCTAGATTGTCTGATATAAGTGTGGCTACTCTGGGTTTCTTTTGGCAATTATTAGCATGATAGATGGCTCTCCATACCCTTACTTCCAATCTGAAGGTGTCTTTAGGTCTAATGTGGGTCTCTTGTGAACAGAATATAGATGGATCCTGTTTTCTTATCCATTCTGTTACCCTGTGTCTTTTGATTGGAGCATTTAGTCCATTGATGTTTAGAGTGAGTACTGAAAGTCATGAATTTATTCCCATTATGTTGCCTGCAGAGGTGGAGTTTCTGGTGGTGTTCTCTGGTCCTTTCTAGTCTTTGTTGCTTTTGATCTTTTTGGGGTTTTTTTTGTTTGTTTGTTTGTTTTTTGTTTTTGGTCTTTTCTCCCCTCAGAGGAGTCTCCCTTAAAATTTCTTGCAGAGCTAGTTTAGTGGTTATGAACTCCTTTAATTTTTATTTGTCTGGGAAACTCCTTATCTCTTCTTCTCTTTTGAATGACAGCCTGGTTGAATAAAGAATCCTTGACTGCATATTTTTCAGATTCAGCACCTTGAATATATTCTGCCACTCCTTTCTGGTCTGCCAAGTTTCTGTGGATAGGTCTGCTGCAAACCTAATCTGTCTTCCCTTGTAGGTTAAGGACCTTTTAACTTTTGCTGCTTTCATAATTCCTTCTTTGCCTGAGTATTTTGTGATTTTGACAATGATATGCCTTGTTCATGGTCAGTTTTTGTTGAATCTAATAGGAATTCTCTGTGCTTGCTGGATTTTGATGTCTGTGTCTTTCCCCAAGTTAGGAAAGTTTTCTACTATGATTTTCTTATATAACCCTTCTACCCCTTTTTCTCTCTCTTTATCTTTTGGGACCCCTACGATTCTAATGTTGTTCCTTTTTAATGAGGCACTGATTTCTCTAATTCTTAAATCGTACTCTTTTGCCTTAGTCTTCCTCTTTTTTCTGCTTCATTATACTCCATTCATTTTTCCTCTATATATCACTGATTTGAGGCTCTGCCTCTTCCATTCTTGCTGCCATTGCATCCATTTGAGATTGCAGATCAGTTATAGCATTTTTATTTCATCCTAACTAGATTTTATTTCTTTCATCTCCACAGAAGGGATTTTCACCTATTTTCAACCCCAGCTAGTGTTATTATTATCGTAATTCTAAACTCTGGTTCAGACATATTGCTTGTATCTGTGTTAAGTCTCTGACTGTCATTTCTTCTGGTTCTTTCTTTTGGGGTGAATTCCTTTGCTTCATTTTGAAGGAAGAAAAGGAATTAATAAAGTAAAAAAAATTAAAAATAACACAAAAAATCAAATAACGGATGATAGATCCTAGGTGTGTTTTGGTCTGGTTGTTGAAAGGAGCTTGATATATTAGAGAAAAAAGGGAAAGATAAAAAGAGAAAAAAAAAGAGAAAAACTTCTGAAAATTTAAAAAAATGAATACAATGAATTAGAGTAAAATGAAATGATGGAAGTAAAATAGAATTTGAAAAATTTACAAAAAGTATAAAACTATAGTAGAACAATAATTAAAAATAGTTTTAATAATTAAAAATAAAAATAAGTTTATTCATTTTCTGTATTCAAGAATGAGGAAAGAAAAAAAAATTGGAATAGATGGACCAGTAAACAGACTGAAATATAGTTGAAATTACATCAGTTTTCCCTAGAAGTCAAACTATGAAGCAGTAAACTCAGCAGGTGGAGAGATTTGTGGTGTTTCTGAAGAGCGAGGTTGGCCCAGTTGGGCAGGGTTTAGTATAGTGGCTCTGTTCTCCACTAGATGGCGCTGATTAGCTTACTGGCCTGGATTATTGTGGTGGTGTAGGTGTTATGTGCATTCCCAGGAAGGCTGAAAATGGTGTCAACTAGCTACCCAGTTTCTGGTATCGGAACTCTGTTCTCCTTGACCAGCAATCACACTCCTCTCCTTGGTCTGGCTTCTGTCCACTCCTTGCTTTTACAGTGTCCATGACCAAGCCATGAGGTTGCCAGGTGGCATCTCCCTTCTGAGTTTTATCTCAGATGTGGCTGTGTTTCTCGACCCCTCACAACTGTGAGCCCTGAAGCTTTAACCCACCCAGACCTTCTGGGGGAGGGTCTCACTGAGAAATGGCCGGGTGCTGGCTGCACCCAGGAACATTTTCAGGACCGTGCTGCTGCCAACGCCCAGAGACTGAAGCTGGGTGCCAGCCTCCCTTAGAAAAAGTTAAAGCGATCATGTAGCAGCATTTCAGGGATTATGTTAAATCACAACACATATCTGGCACCAGGCATCACCCTTAATGTCCTTGTTTCAGCACCAGTGAATGTGGTTGTTCTCTGGGGTCTTCTGGGACCTTTGCCTGTGGGGAGGCCATACAGCCTCTACCAAGACAGTAGGGGAACCTTCCCCGTAGGGGAACCACCTCTCCCCGGGTGGCCCGAGGACCCCTCATATTTCACTCTGCTCCTGGGGATTCGCCCTTCCCACCAAAGCACCACCAGGTATTGAGCTGTGGCATTTCAGACTCTGTGCTCCCCCTGTTTATAGAGTCTTAATGGAATTTAAACCCTCTCCTTTCTCCTTTTTTTTTTTTTTGGTTCAGTCCTTGCAGCTCTTTCCATTTTTCCAATTTCTCTGCAGCTGCTTTTTGAGAGGGTGCTTTTCCCTTACTCTCACCTCCTCTCCATCCTCTCTCCAGAAGCAAAAATAGCTCCCTGCCCTCTGTGGTTTCTCCCTCCCCTAGTTCACCTCTCTGTGTCATGTACCTGCTGGGTTCTGTGGTTCAGGTTGTGCGGATTGTTGTGTTAATCCTCAAGTCAATTTTCTAGGTGTGCAGGATGGTGTGTTGATCTGGCTATATTTCATGGACAAGAGACACAAAAAAACCTTCCATGCTGTTCTGCCATCCTGCCCCCTCCTTCAAGTCAGGACTTTTCCTTGGAGGTTGATAGTTCTTGACATTTTGTGGTAACTTCCTATTTTGGGTATCCATTTAAAACTATAGGCTTGTTCTCCAAATGATGTACCTATGACAGAAATGTCAGTAATACACCGATTTCCTGAAGGCCATTATAGACTTTGTTATAGAAATTGGGGTACCATTTATGTCTCCATTTTTAAGCAGAAGAGGAACATAGTCACATCTGTATTTTAGAAAGGTGAGGGGTAAATGGGAAATTATTGACAAAGTCTTAATTCAAAGAAGAGACAGAAGAGAATTTCAGCTTTCTGGTCTGGTTGTTGAGGTTGGATCTTGGAGACTAATGTGGGGTAAGGGAGGGATTTTGATTGGTTTTGACTCAAAATATGTTCATGTCAAAGTGGCCTGTCCTTGGCACTTACAGATCACTACTTTCAGAGGAAGCCAGCTGCTATGTCATGAGAACACTCAACTAATACCATGCAGAAACCCATGAGTTGAGGAACTGAGGGCTAACAATCAACAAAATGAGATCTGTGAGTAAGCCATCTTGGAAGCAGTTCCTCCAGCCTCACTATCAAACCTCCAGATGACTTATACCCTGGCTGACTTGACATTTGATGAGAAACTCTGAACCCAAATCACTCAGCTAAGTCACTTCCAAATTCCTGAGTTAACTTAGATAATCAATGTTCATCATCTTAAGCTGCTAAAATATCAGGTAATTAGTTACACTGTGATAGATAATTAATACAGGTTTTATTACCTAGAAACAGGGCATTGCCATAATATAAAAACCCAAATATGAAAGTGGCTTTGGAATGGGGCAGACATTAGAAGAGCTTTGAGGAGAGTATTAGGGAAGGTCTGAATGGCTTTTTTTCTCCCCTTCATTATGATAAGTATACTCTTTAATTCCCATCACCTGTTTCACCATCCCTCCCACCTACTTCTTCTCTGATAACCATCAGTTTGTTCTTTATAGTTGAGTTTATATCTTGGTTTGGCTCTCTCTTTTTCCTTTGCTTGTTTGTTTTGTTTTTTAAGTTCCACATATTAGTGAAATAATATTGTATTTGTCTTTCTCTGACTGACTTTTATCACTTAGCATTGTACTTTCTAGCTCCATCCATGTTGTTGCAAATGGAAAGATTTAATTCTGTTTTTATGGCTGAATAATAATCCATTACACCATTACACACACACACACACACACACACACACACACACACACCACATCTTCTTTATCCATTTATCTATCGATGGACACTTGGGCTGTTTTCATAGTTTATCTATTGTAAATAATCCTGCATGTATCACTTTGAATTAGTGTTTTTAAAATTTTTGATAAATACCGAGTAGTGTGATTGCTAGATTTTAGGGTAGTTATAAATTTGATATTTTGAAGAACCTCCATAATGTCTTCCACAGTGGCAGTACCAGTTTGCATTCCCACCAGCTGTGCACAGGGTTCCTTTTTCTCTACACCCTCACCAACTCTTGTTGTTTCCTGTGTGTGTGTGTGTGTGTAGCCATTCTGACAGGTGTGAGGTGATATCTTACTGTAGTTTTGATTTGCATTTCCCTTTTGATGAATGATGTTGAGCATTGTTTTGTGTGTCTGTTGGCCTGTCTATCTTCTTTGGAGAAATATCTGTTCATGTCTTCTGCCCATTTAATCACATTATTGGATCTTGAGTTGTATCAGTTCTTTATATATTTTGGATACTATTCCTTTATTGGATATGTCATTTGCAATTATCTTCTTCCACTCATTAGGGTGCTTTTTTGTTTTGTTTCCTTCACTCTTCAGAAACTTTATTTTGATGTAGTCCCAATAGCATGCTCATTTCGGCAACACATATACTAAAATTGGAACAATAGAAAGAGTAGCATGGCCCCTGTGCAAGGATGACAAACAAATTGATATCATCCCAGTAGTTTATTTTTGCTTTTATTTCCCTTGCCTCAGGGGACTTATCTAGAAAAACGTTGCTATAGCCAATGTCATAGAAATTACTACCAGTGCTCTTTTCAGGGGTTTTTGTGGTTTCAGGTTTTACATTTAGGCCCTTAATCCATTTGGAGTTTATTTTTGTGTATGGTGTAAAAAGTGGTCCAGTTTCATTTGTTTTTTGCACATAGCTTCCCAGCTTTCCCAGCACCATTTGTTGAAGAGACTCTCTTTCTCCCATTGTATATTCATTCCTCCTTTGTTGAAGATTAATTGCCCATGTATTTGTGGTTTATTTCTGGTTTTCTATTCCATTCTATTGATCTATGTATCTGTTTTTATTTTAGTACCACGCTGTTTTAATTACTACCACTTTGTAATATAATTTGAAGTCTGGAATTGTGCTACCTCCACGTTTTATTTTTTTTTTTTGAAGATTGCTTTGGCTATTTGAAGTCTTTTGTGTTCCATACAAATTTTAGGATTGTTTGTTCTAGTTGTGTGAAGAATGCTGTTGGTATTTTGATAGGCATTGTATTAAATTTTTAGATTGCTTTGGGTAGTATAGACATTTTAACAATATTTGTTCTTACATCCCATGAGCATGGAATGTCATTCCATTTCTTTGCATCATCTTGAGTTTCTATTACAGTGCTTTATAGTTTTTAGAATATGGATCTTTTACCTCTTTGGTTAAGTTTATTCCTAGATATTTTATTGTTTTTGGTACAATTATAAATGGGATTGTTTTCTGAGTTTCACTTTCTGCTGCTTCATTATTAGTGTATAGGAATGCAACAGATTTCTGTACTTTGGTTTTGTATCCTACAGTGTTACTGAATTCATTTATCACTTTTAGTAGTTTTTTGGTGAAGTCTTTAGGGTTTTCCATGTATAGTATCATTTCATCTGCAAATAGAGAGTGTTTACTTCTTTCTTACCAATTTGGATGCCTTTTATTTCTTGATGTTTGATTGCTATGGCTAGGGCTTCCAGTACTATGTTGAATAAATGTGGTGAAAGTGGACATCCTTGTCTTTTTCCTGGACTTAGGGAGAAAGCTGTCTGTTTTTCACCATTGAGTATAATGTTAGCTGTGGGTTTTTCATAGAAGGCCTTTATTATGTTGAGGTATATTCCCTCTAGACCTAATTTGCAGAGGGTTTTTATCATGAATAGATATTGTACTAAAGTCTGAATAGTCTTGAAGAAGTTGTCTCTTTTCTCTTCTTCAAATTTCATACAAGTGCCTCTCATTTGTGGACTCTGACATGGAAAATGGCTGTTAAGGGATTCTAGGAAATATTTTCTAGTCTTCCTAACTCTTGGGGGTGCACAGAAGTAGAGAATCACAGAAGCACAGCTGAGTTTCCAGCAGACAGTCTGGTGCAGTTCATTATTTCAGGTACTCAGTATCCATACATACCATTTTACTCAAATTAGTTTCCATCCTATATGGAAGAGTACAGGAAAGGAAGAGAGGAGGAGAAGAAAAAAACTAACAAATGTAAATATAAACAGAATAAAACAAGGAAAAAATATGCCTCGCTACTAAGACCTTTTTTTCTTAATTGGTAATCAAGACAGTAGTTGATGTTTATTTATTTATTTTTAGTAGTTGGTGTTTATAATCTCCTTCCCCTGTCCAAATCACATGCCCTATGCTCTCAGTCAGTGCTTCAACTACTGCTTCTTTATCTGATAACTCAAACCTTTACGCTTAGGTGTATGAACTATTTGTGGTCCTGACTGAACTGCATTGCTAAAGTCTTCCCTTAACTTTTACTGTGGGACAACAAAATATTAAGGGACATCATATCCAGAATAAATGTTAAATTCACTGAGGAATTTCTGCCACCTCCATGATGGAACAACATAATCAACCTGTCCCAGGTGACTGGCTAGTGCCCCTGAAGAATGATGCCATACTGTAGACTTAGTGTTGGTCTTTGATCTTGGTAGATTCATCAATTGCCACCAGCAGAGACCAGATTAGCCTTGGTGAGAAGTCCCTGTTGTAGATCCTATGCATAACTTCCATCCCTGCTATCATGCCTGCTTTGTTTATGAGTCCATTGAACAAGTGCTGGGGTAGTTGATGAAATTGACTAAAAGACATCCAATCTCCTGCCATTGGTTCCCATTGGCTAAACTCAGCTCAGTTCCAAATTCCATCATATTGGGGGTTAGGCCTTCAACTCCAAATACCAACAGTTCCCTCAAGGAGCTTCCCCTCTGGAGAAAGGGAACAAAGGCCTTAGCTCTAATATAAGCTGTGTTCCTAGCTCTAGTACATAATTGCTCTAAATCTCATCATGAGGGCCCCACTCTCAGACCTCATCTAACCCAACACATGCTTAACTCAAGGCCAAGTGAGAGCAAGTGTCAGTGGGGGATGGGGGTAGTGAGCACAGGAGGAGAAAAACAAGTATAAGGAGTGCTTTACCCAGAAGGTAACAAAGAGGAACCGGGAGTAGATGGCATCTGAGAAGATACAGAAAGTTCTTGTATAGAACACATTGGTGCTGAGACATCAGTGGGTCATCTAAGTGGAAATAACTTTCAGGTTTTGGGGAATAGAGTGTGGAAGGAAACTTTAAGGTTAGGGTTAGAGAGAGGAACTGGATGTCCTCTCCATGAAGTGGGAGGTGTAATAGGCTGTTGTGTTCACTGAGGGCTTGAGTGCACATCCAGCAGAACACAGAGTCTGGATGCCATGACCAGCAGGCAACTGCATGTGACTTGGTGATTTGGAGTATCTACAATCAGTGTAGTTGTGGTTAGCAGGAAGGTCTTAAAGGTCCATTTTGCTCTAAAAATCTATATGACTCTACAAGGTAATCTGTTTCACACCCCCAGATAACAGCTATTTTATGACTCTAGCTGGCACCAAGGAATTGAAATGGAATTGAGTAAGAGAGGAATGGGAAGGCCTCCAAGTACTCTTCCTTGGTACTTTGATTTCTTCAATCATTCTCTTGGAGGCAGAATAATTTCAAGGTCTGTTCTCTTAGCTGATAACAAGATAATATAACCACTCAACATTAGCTCAGCCAATGATTAAAAAGTTGGAATTTTTACTCTCTTGACTCTCTGCCTTTCTTCTTAATGTAACTCTTTCATTTAAACAAATTTTCAGCATTTTCTCCAGAAGTGGATAAATGACTTTAGCACTGCATTAACACTGGAAGACCCAACATTAGAGCTCAAGAAGGGATCACCCACATAGGAAGATTTCAGGAGTGCCAGAATGATCCTGCTGTTCAAAGCTATCTAGCTCCTTTCCTTACAGCATGATTTCTTCTGTTTTCATTATTTTAAAAAATTTTTTCCTTTTTTAAAAAATTGAAGTTTAGTTGACACACAGTGCTAGTTTCAGGTGTACAGCATAGTGATTTGACAACTGTATGTGTTATGCTATGTTCACCACAAGTGTAGCTCCCACCTGTTACCATAAAACACTATTACAATATCATTGACTATATTCCTTAATCTGTACCTTTCATCCCTGTGACTTATTCATTCCACAACTGGAAGCCTGTACCTCCCATTCCCCTTTGCCCATTTTTCCCATCCCTCCCATCCCCTCCCCTCTGGCAACTGTGAATTTGTATTCTGTATTTATGGGTCTGTTTCTGCATTTGTTGTTATGTGTATATATATATATATATATATATATATATATATTCCACATGTAAGTGAAATCATATGGTATTTGTCTTTCTCTGACTTATTTCCCATCACATATTACCCTCTAGGTCCATCCATGTTGTTGAAATGGCAAGATCTCATTCTTTTTTATGGTTGAGTAATAGTCCAGTTTGTGTGTGGGGGGAGGGTGTTTATGTAACACATCTTCTTTACCCATTCATCTATTGATGGACACTTGGGCTACTTCCATTTCATGGCTATTGTAAATAATATTGTAGTAAACATAGGGGTGCATGTATCCCATGTATCCCTTTGAATGAGCGTTTTTATGTTTTATGGGTAAATACATTGTAGTGGAATTACTGGATCATATGGTATTTCCCTTTTTAATTTTTTTGAGAAAACTCCATACTATTTTCCATAGTAGATGCGCCAATTGCATTCCCACCAACAATGCACGAGCATTCCTTTTTCTCCATGTCTTCATCAACACTTGCTCTCTCTGGTCTTTTTGATGCTAGCCATTCTGACAAATGTGAGGTGATATCTCATTGTGGTCTTATTTGCATTTACCTGATGATTAGTTGTGGTAAGTGTCTTTTCATGTCTTTGTTGGCCATCTATGTATCTTCTTTGGAAAAGTATCTATTCAGGTCCTCTCCCCATTTTGTATTTGGACTTTTTTTTTTTTTTTTTTTGGTGTTGACTTATTCTTCATTATTAACTATCCAACAAGTATCTATAGAAGGGGGCAAGATGGCGGAGAAGTAAGGAGCTCCGTACTTGCACTCGCGCCCATACATCACACAGAAAAGATCTGAAGCCATTGGAAACCTTACAAAACCTGAGAGATTGGGAGAAAAAGGATGCAGAATCCACTGAGAGAGCCTTCTAACGGCTACCTCAAGAAACAAGCTAGAGTACACAAGGTGGAGAGTCCCAAATATCACTACGAATAGGAAAATAAAATAACCAAGGTCCCAACAAGAGAGACCAAGGGATACCATTCAAAAAACACTCTCTGAAAGAGGCCCTGGAAAGTCAAAGAGTCTTCTTGGATATAGCAACGCTCATAGAAACAGAGAGCATAACAGGTCTTTAAAACCAACAAGAGCCGGAAAGCTAACTAAAATGACGAAATGAAAGACCTCTCCTCCAAAGAAACTCCAAGAAGAAATGACACTGCTCAACAAGTATCTATCAAGTGCCTTCTGTGTAACAGCCCTAGGAAGCACTATGCATTTGAGTTATTAGCGATGAGTGTTTTGGTTGGTTTGTGTGTTTCACCTGGATTACTGGGCTGGTAGAGAGGCTTTCGACAGATGGCTGAGAACATAACAGAAGAGAATGGAATCTTTCTGAGGGTGAGACAGGAGCAGGAAGGCCTTCTGTGTGTTAGCTAATCTGTAGACAGTTTAAACAACTACTATAGAAAGTTTGAAACTGAACTTCTAGAAATGAAAATGCAACATCTGGAATGGAGAGTACCTGAATGGGATTAATAGCAGCTTAGACATTGAAGAATAAAAGATTAGTGAATTTGAAGACATAGCAATAGAAACTACCCAATATAAAACACAGAAAGGAGAAAAAAATTGAAGAAGAGAGAGAGAACACTATTAGTGATCTGTGGGATATCATCAAATGGCCTAATATACATATAATAAGATTCCTAGAAGAGAGGATATATGGGGAAACAAAAAAATATTTGAAGATACACCATTTTAAACATTATATGTTAAAGTATCTTTCATTAAACTTCATATTTTGGTTCAGAGAAACACTGTTGATTTTTGTATTTTCTTTTTTGTCTGCTCTTGCAGAAATCATTCCTACCATCAATGTATGAGAATTCTAGTTGCTCTGAAAACTCATTAGTACTTGGTATGGTCCTTGGCTCTCCTGTAAACAGCTCTCTCAAACAGAACCAGTCACGTCTTCACTACCAAATATAGCATCTTCTCATTTGTCATGCTACCTGATTGTATACATCATTGAATATCATTGACCTCTCCTCCTTCTTACAGATTATCTCTCTATTTTACTTTTCCTCCTAGGTCTCCAACTGCTCCTGCTGTCTGTTTGCTTCTTCTGGCTGTCCTATCAGAGCAACTGTTCTGAATTCCTGGGAGAATGCTGGTGAGCCTTGCAGGGCTGGGTGGGATAGCAGGATAGGTGGGTGGGTGTGAGCTGGACAAGTTACCAGGGAGGAGGTCTGGAAGAATGTCTCGGGCCTGACTATGTTACATGTCAGTGCAAATCCTAAGTGAAGAATTTTAGGCAGCCCATCCTTGGTAGGAGCTCCTTCCTCTCCTCCATTTTTTTCTCATTAGGGTCTGAGTCTGCTCTATGCAGTTGGAGGAACTAGAGCTTTTGTGTCCTCAAATTCCTACTGAAATCATTAAAAGAATATATAAATAAGGACAAATTGCATCAGCACAAGAAGTCAATGATCAGCATTAATTTTATGCTAGAAACCAGGAGAAACTTTTGTTAACAACAGAACCTAGGGCTTGGCTTGAAGAGGCCACTGGAGATAGAGTCATGATTCTCCCCAGTGAGAGAGAGAGCACCTTATCTGGGAAAGATTTTACTGCCTGTCAGAACTAGAGCTACCTCTAACCCAGAGAGGTAAGAGTTCTAGAAGGAAGAAGTTGAGGGTAGGTTGAAGGACCATTTGAATATTTCACCTCATAGGTCCTGACTGTCTTTGTGGACCTTTAGCATTGGATCTCCACCGTTAGTGTGAATAAGATCTCATGTTTTCTGTTGTCTGAAATGGACACATGAAACAGATGTGGGTACTCTGTGGAGAAGGAGTTCTTTTCTTTTTTTTTTTAACTTTTTAAAAAATGTTTCATTTATTTCTGAGAGAGAGAGAGAGAGAAGAGTTCTTTTCTAAGGTAATACATCCATCACAACTCAGCAATTAAGCACCTGGCCATGTTCTGATTTAATTTAATTTAATCTCATTCTACCTGGGCTAATGGCTGTCAGAACTGGTCATCCCCAGGTTCATAGAGTCTCTGCCTCCACTGTAAGTCTGCTGGCCCCCATCTGATAGACCTTCCTTGTGTCTTCTGTGGTTTTCCAGCTCCTATTTGGCTTTCCACTGTTTTTCGCTTCTCAGACTCAGTCATTCTTACTTTAAGTTAGAGCAGAAGAGAATCAGCTCAGGCCACAATGTCAATAGTTACTCAGGACAACTAGGAAAGTTGTCCTAAGCTTTCCACCCTAACTGCTAAATGCTAATACCTCAGACTCTGGGAGTTTCCATAGCTTTGTCTGTCTTAGTTGGGAGTTTCCACATCCTATGGATAGGGCCTTTGAGAAAATACACAAACACCTTTGCTGCTAAGCCTGACCTGTAGTGCCCACAAATGCTCTGTTTAGCTAACAGTACCTATCATCTTTACCCTACTCTTTCTTGCTTGTCAGTTGAGGCTTCAGGCAGTAAGCACATGAGAGGGTTATTGTTAGTCCATATCTGAAAAGCTTCCCATACACATATCTGGAGAAGTTATCAGTGGGTACATACTTCCCAGCAAGTTATGGCCAAGCTATTATGTTTCACATTTATCAGATAGATTTTTTCTCAATTCAGCTTCCAGATATAACACAGGTACTAACCCTCAAATTGTACCATTATGTAAAGAGCTCAGTAGTATTAACAAGATCCCAAGCCAAACAGGATACCAATCCCGTGAACTCACATGCTTCTATGTACTGCTTCTCAATTGGTTTAAAAAGGTATGAGAGTTTGTTTTCTCTTTTCCTTTGCAATGCTTCTTATGGCTTTCTTTTTTTTTTTTTATTTTAATTTTTTGCAACAGAGGTTCAATTTCAATTTGATATCCTAGGATCAGGTTGTTAATGGATTTTGCTAAAGTGATTGTTCCTTTAAAAAATTTTTTTTAATTTAAGTTTATTTATTTATTGAGAGAGAGAGAGAGAAAGAGAGAGAGAGAGAGAGAGTCAGACAGACAGGCGCTGTGCTGTCAGTGCCGAGCCCGACGTGGGGCTCAGACTCAAAAATCTTGAGATCATGATCTGAGCTGAAATCAAGAGTTGGATGCTTAACTGACTGAGCCACCCAGGCATCCCAAATGTGATTGTTCTTAACTGATTTCTGGTGGTACCCACTGAACTTTAATTCCCAGGAAATGGTAGAATGTGCTTACAAAGTGATGGCAGAAATCTTTTCTAGGCATGTGGTTTATATTTATTTTTGTACTAGTGAGCCTCTAATTTTGCAGTGGCTTTACTGAACTGGCATTTGACTGGGTATAATTTTAAATCAGCTTCACCTAGTGTATCAGTTTGGGTCCCAACAGGAAAACAGATGGGATACTTAAATTCAGATAATTACAGGAGGGTTTATTTACAAGGAGACCATTATAGAGACGTGTGCAAGATGTGGTGGAGCCACAAGAAAGGATAGTGCAAGAACCTGTAAGCAGTGAATTGGTGCTATTCCTAGGCCTGAAAGGACAAGATGAAAGAGAAGTGAGGAGGAGCTTCAGATAAAGACCTTCTCAATACACTCACTTCAGTTTTTTTGTACACTCTGATTTCTTTCTGGGTCGCCCTGCTAGAACCCAACTAGCCGAGCTGAAGGGCATAGGAGCCCATTGACGTCATCCACAGGATCAGGCTCCTAGGGCATAGATCAAGGTGGAGAGTGGATCTGGAGTAGCAAACCAAAGGACCTGACACACATAGGAAGTCTAGGATTAAAATTAAATTAGTTCCTTGATACACTTTGCAAATGATGTTCCGGAGATAATGACGCCCTTCAGGCATACTGACACCTCTAAGCAATGCTTTTTGCTTACTACTTTCTCTATTAAGCATGGAAAGGCAACAGAGCTCTAGAGATCCTAAAGTAGCCTCTTGAATGGATTCAGTTAGGTGATGATAAAGATGATTTTCTCCTCAGATTACCTGTATCTGATAGTATACATTCTTAGCTAACACAAGGTTGGACTCCCTGCAAAAGGGAAGTGAGAAGGAAGAGGAGGAGGAGGAGGAGGGAAGAGTGAAAAGAAAGGCTATGTATAGCAATAGGGAACATCTCAGATGGGAGAGAGAGCAGTGGAGAAAGAGTCATGGAAATCCGTGAACCAAGACCCCTGGGCATTTGAACTTAGTGACTGGTCCCAGCCCTGGCCAAGCAGTCCTGCCTCAGCATAATGGCCAACTGGGACCTTCTTGCTGTGCTCACCTTCTTCAAAACTTCTCAGAGTTTGAGAATTCGAGTTTTTACTTATGACTTTAATGTGTTGAGGATACCTAGGAATGCCAGAGACAGGTAAATCTGGAGGCCAGATGAGATGCAGCATGGGATGGTGGTTGAGGGCTCAGATTCTGAAGCCAGGCTCCCTGAGTTTGTATTCTGTCTACAAACCTTATAGCTTTCATGACCTTGGGAGAGTTACTTGTCTGTTTTCTAGTTTCCACATCTGTAAAATGGAAAAGATAACAGTAACCGCCTCAAGAACTCTTGGGAGGAGTTACTACTTGTACAGTTCCTACAAAGAGACCCACATATAGAAAGCACACTGTAAATGTTAAATCACATTTGAATAGCTCTACTTGCTGGGCATCTTCTCTCAGGTCCTGCCCACCAGAGATTCTTGAGGGTGGCAGTGTTTTCCTTCTAGTCTGTCAGTGCACATCTGATTGACTGCTCAGGGTTATGCGTTCATGTGGTTTTTAGAGAGGAATAGTCAATGCTGCCTTTCAGAGTAGGCCCTTTACTGAATCTGGAAGCTAAACAATCCCTTGTTCCTGAGGGACGAAGAAGGAGTAAGTCCCAAGAATCTCTCCTGACAGGACTAGTGTCTACTTGTGTGGTTGGAGATTATAGGGAATACTTCTAGTCCAGGCTGGTTATGGTTATTCTGACCCCTGCTCCTTGGCAAGATTTGATCTGGGTTTTTCGTCACTGCCACGACATTATCTGTCATCCTGTGGGTGAATAATTGTCCTTATTGAGAAACAGAAAATTCTTTCTCAGGCCAGATAATCTAAGTTCTGGGAATTGATGCAAATGGGAGGGAGTAATTTTTGTAACTTAATTTTTGGGTTCTTATCAGGAGGGACCTACAGCTTTTCACCAGGGCAAGAAGTTTCTGCAAAACACATGTTGGTTTGTTCAGGAAGATCCTGCTGGGTCTGTTTGGGTGAGATGTTGAGAATTCATGGAGACAGGAGACGCAGTTGTTTTTTTTAGGAATGTGACCGTGGGTCAAGACAATTACTAGATGGAAAGCAACTCTATTCACAAATTGATCTAAACGGCTATTTGAGGAGCACCTGGGTGGCTCAGTTCGTTAAGCATCCAACTTCAGCTCAGGTCATGATCTCGTGGTTCATGAGTTCAAGCCTTACATCGGGCTCTGTGCTGACAGTCCAGAGCCTGGAGCCTGCTTCAGATTCTTTGTCTCCCTCTCTCTCTCTCTCTATCCTTCCCCCACTTGCGCTCTGTCTCTCTCTCTCAAAAATAAATAAACTTTTTTTTAAAAAGGGTTATTTGATGTATAGATCTTAATTACTTATAAGTGAATCATAATTTATTGAGTTGCACTTCCAGGAATAGGTAAAATCTGAGAATAAACTATTTTTCAAAACTGTTCTATTTGATAGACTTAATTATTTGAGAGAATCTGGGTTTGTCTCTCTTTCTCTCTTTTTTTTTTTTGTCTCTTGATTCAATGCAGGGCATGGTTCTTGTAGGCTTTACAAAAGAAGCCTAGTATTTATTACTTATTTCCTGGTTTATTCATAAGATCAATGGTATAAAATATTTGAAAAAGACAGAAAACGTCTGTTTAAAATATACTGTCAGTGATGTATGGGACTTTGATGCCAATATTGGAGCTAGAGTAGTGAAAAGAAAATTTTTATTTTGGGGTGAGTTAGGGATACATGAGGTGAGAACTATATGGCTATACTTCCTATTAATAGCCTTGTTTACATGGCTTTACTCCAGAGGAAAGGTTAAAATGACTGGGGTTATACGGTTTTGAGAACAGATGACTTTTGAAGGGTCTAATGGTAGAGATCTACTCCAAGGGACAGAAAGAGGATATCAGATAAATTAGGAGAGAGAGAGATTTCACTAGAGATAAG